GGTGATTCGTAAAATATAATGATTAAAGTCTTCTATTACATGATATTATTTGCCTTTATTAAATTATGACAATGATACTATCAAATTTGTGATGTTGTAATATATATTTATTATATATGTTTACAGATTATGTCTACTATAATTAACTGAACTAAAAACAGTAGCAACCTAAACAAAGCTTTAAAATTCTTCCTAGTGAACAAGAACATAAAAAACTATTGAAGGTATGGGTAGATGGCGCAAAACATTGTCAACAATCTAACATTTAAAGTCTTTTCTGTCCATTAGATTAAGTCCTTGTTTTAGTCGTAATCATCATTAGATTTTCATTTTGGAAATTCTTAAATTCACCGACCGGTGATTAATCCATATAATTAATTACCAGGATCTTTTTTTTTTTTTAATATAAGCAATCACTCAGGAGACGTCCCCTATTCGAGTAACACGGTGACTGTCGAAAATAAAAGAGGAAACAGAAAGGCATAGGAACTGATAAGCCTTTACAAACTGAGCATTCGCTATACAACGAAAAAAGAAAATTCTACCGCATTTGGCATTGAATTTGCGAACTCTGACTTGGTTACGCACGCGAGCAAGAGCAGACGTAGATCTATTGTTTTAAGATGTAATACAATTGTCAGCATCGTTAATTTAAAAAATCTACTAAAAGCTTACTTATCTCGTGCTCTTTAGCGCAATATGTTTGTTCAACCGGGTGTCGATCCTTACATCAGAAAATATACATTTTCTCCCTGGCAAAATTGAGAATCTCTTTAATGGCTGGTTTGTTTGTTAATCTATCAAAGAGAAAAATCAGTTGTTTTTTTTGAATTTGACAGCAACAAACGAATAGAAACAAAAATTTGTTTGTTTTCTGCTGTTTGAATGATAGCAACGAAAATAACACGGACGTCTTGCGCAATCGCAACAAAACCGTTTATCAATTATCGGTTTGGTCGCAAACGAAAGTTAACTTTCAAATACGTGATTACGTCGGTGTTTTTCTTAGACACGCAGATCTGAACGTTCAGTTGTAAGACAAATTTGTTTGAAAGGATAGCTATCTTGCTTTCCTTGCTTGGACGCATGTAAGAGAGAAAATAATTAAGAGCTCTTGTGCATAATCCAAAAGAATCGGGGGTTAATGAAAAATAATGGGCGACAATCAAAAAATGCAAAATCACAGCAAAGCGACGGCGATAGTTACATTTCTCATACGTAATTAACATGCAACTAGTTTTCTTTCACATATGAAATATTATTCAGCTTTCGTTTTTCTTCTTCTTCACGCATGCACAACAGCCGTTAAATATACTCTTTCATACCTGTCAAATTAGACGAAAGCTAAACTCTTTTGCGTTGATATTGGTTGTTGGCAGCAAACGTACGGTGTGTCCGTTATGTATATATTATTAGGAAAATGTCTAAATTGAAGGTAATGATAATCACTTGTTTATTGAGAGTGTATAACACGTTAATTGAATATTAGAAAGTTGTTAAGCTCCTTTGAAAGACAAGTTTGTAGATATTAACGAAAATATTTTAAGCAAACACGATTGGTTGGTTGGTTGTCCTTATTTTCAAAATGAATTTTTCCAAAAAAAATTGCACATTTTACAAAAAATTTTATTTTTGAAAATTTATAGAAATTTAACATATTGAAAACAAGGAAGAAACGCATACCTCGCAATACCTTGCTACCTTGTTGAATTAAATGAAACAATACATTCTTTTTTTTGGCGAGGGAATAACTGGAAAAATAACTTCAAAGAGCAATTTGATGTTATTAGATAGATTTTCGAGTAGAACGTCGATTAGCACAATACAATGGTTTTCTTTAGAATTCTTTCAATTTTACTGATATTGCGAAAGCCAGCAGTAGCTCTAACCAAACACCGCAAACTATAATCAAACAGGAGAACTACGACACAATCGTGTATCGTTGAACGATTTTCACAGGAATTCGGTTTAAATATTTAAAGATATTGCAAGTTTTTTAAAAGCAATTTTCCTTTAATAGTAAACAGGAAAGGTGGAAATGGAAAAGGCTAGAAAAGCGAGGTTAAAAGAGAGAGGGAGCTAAAGAGAATTCAGGGCCTCCACGACAATTGAATATTGTAAATATGCTTTTGAATGTTTTCGTCTTTCTTTTCTTTTCTTTTGTTTTTTTGTCTAAGCATATAAGCTTTTCTTAATATTTTTATTTATTTGATATTGGCTCGCAATAATAAATCGTTCCTTTGAAAAATTGTCTTACATTATTTTGAGATTTATTAGACTTCTATCAGGTTAGAAAGAATATATAAATAATTATAACAAATAGGTTTTGATTATTATTGTTTTCTACTATGAATGGTTGATTGGTTGGTTGGTTGGTTGGTTGTTCAATTAATTGTAAAATCATTCAACACACAAGTTTATAATATGACAAAGTGTAATTGATTATATTTGTATATATGTCTATGTATTTAATAAAATAATTATTTTCTTATTTATGTATAAGGGTGCACACATTTTTCATATATTTTTTTTTAACTAATAAAAAGAAGAAATTTTCTTCTTTTCTGTTTTGCATTTCTAATAAACACACACACGCATCTGACGATGCACAGCAAAGTTCATCGCCTAAAGAAGTGGAGTGAGAGAAGCGCTATTGGATGGCTTTTACAAATTGGATTGGAAAAGTAACAAAGTGGCAAATTTGAATAAAAAGGCGTTTAGTAGTAAAATCAATTAACATTTGTATCGTTTAATAAAACGCACTCTCTATTCCATAACATAATTGTGTTCTTATATTTTTACATAAGAAATAATTGACAGTGATATTATGGGTAATAATGAACATTTAAAGATTGGACGTTTCGACCTTTTTCGTTTATTTTTAAATAACAATATATAAAACTTTGTTATATCAGTTCACTGATTAACATTTATTTTCATCAATAATTTGCGATCATATTTGTAATATATCCGTAGTAGATATGCAATGGGAAATTTTGAAAATTAACGACGACCCTGTTGATCCGTTTCATATAATGTTTGAGAGTGATGTGTACACAAAAATTCGCCTAAGGCGAAAAGAATTTTGTTCTTTTTATTATTTTATCACTATTATCATTACTAATATTTATAATATATATATATAAACGATTTTAAGTTTGCTTAACAAGTGTGTAAATGATTTAATAAAACAGTGGATAATCTATAGACTACTTAAATGAGTGAACAAAGATGAAAGACAGGTCCTAAGTGAGATGATTTATTTACGAGAGAAAGAAGGAACAAGAGAAAGAAAGAGAAAGAGAGATTGGTAAGATCATATAAGCAATTAAAAGCTGTTGGAAATAAAATATTTCCGATATAAATGATTCTAAAAGATTTTAGATTATTTTTCGATTTTTATTTTCACTTTTTTTTTTTTTTTATTATTTGAATTTCTGTCTAATGATACATTTTCATTAAATATTAAATTATAAGTGAATTTTTAACGGCTAATTAAAGTTTTTTCGTAATTTTTTTATTATTATTTTTAAATTTATTTTATATAAAGAATGATAAATACACAATTATGAAAAATATATATATATATGTATATGTATCAGTTAAAGTAATTCATGTACGAAAATATATAATTAGGGGGAAAGAAAAAAAAAAAAAAAAAATTAGCTACAAAGTACAAGTGATTTGTTTTAAGCATTTTAGATGCTTGGGTGTACCTAAATACATAAGTTTCGTATTAATTATACAATCAGACCTTTTTTTCATTTTTGTTTAATATTGTGTATGTGTGTATATATGTCTGTGTGTATGTATCTTCATAAAGGCGGCTGGTTGTCGGTTAACTAATTTATTAATTAATTGCTATACTGTTATTTCTTTCTTTCTTTCCTTCTTTCATTATTATTCATTAGGAAAAAATATATATGCATATATATATATATATATATATACATATATAATATATAAATAAATATATATTATATATATATATAAGTAAATATATATTTGCATTAAATATCTATTAAAGAATTGTAATTCTAATGGTATCTATGAGAGAATTGCAAAGTTTTGTAGCAAAAAGGGCAAAAGAAGAAAAATGATAATAAGAATAATAAAAATATTCAAGGAAAAGAAAGAAAGAAAATAAACAGTTCTACCCGGTTTATACATCGAAAAAAAAATAAAATAATAGGCAGAATAATAGAAAACAAAAATATATTGGAAATGTTTACAAAGTGAAACAGAATGACAATCAATCGCTCTTTTAAAGCAGCTCAACACTATTTGGATATTTAGATGATTATATATACATACATTGGGGGCATTACCATAATATATATTACTATTATCTATAACATATAAATTTCGACAAGTAGAAGAAAGAAACACTCAAAAAAAAAAAAGACAAAAAAAAAAAGAAAAGAATTAAGTCTAAATATCTTGAAAATTTGCCAGGCAGCTCTATTTTTTATCCTTAGCAAGAAGAAGAGTTTTTTACGAGTTAAAAAGCGTTTGTGTTTTGTTGTATTTTGTGCTTACAACAACAATTTAATTGTAATTTGTTGAATGTTAAGCTAAATATTTGTTTTGTTTCTTTTTTTTTTTTTGGTTTTCGGTGTTTTTGTTTTCTTTTTTTTTCCTTTTCTTACAAATGATGATGATTGCTGTTACATTCTGCCATACAATTTTCATTATTCCCTGCGGTTTTTGGTTCCTAACTTGTTGTTGTTGCTGTCATTGAAGAATTTAAAAATTTCTATTTAGTAGTAGTTTAGTGATTTGTTTTCATTTTTCCCTTCTCTACATATTTATAAGCGGAATTACAATGTTTGTATGTTTGTATACAAATATTTTAAGAATTGTGTGTTTACATAATTATTGTGTGTATGTTGCTAAGCATTTTATATGTATATATATATATATATATATATATATATATATATAATTATATATATGTATATATAGATATATAATCAATAGTTAAATATATAATCATTTTTAAATGTTATTTGAAAATTTGCTCTAATTACTAGGCACACGACAAGTTTTTGTTTTTAAGCATTTTCATTATCAAATATGTATAGAATTTCAGGAGGCTTGAGTTTAGCTGCTTGAATATGTAGTAATGCTTATGCATGTCCTTTAATAAAGGCTTCAAAGTATTATAATGTTCTAACTAGTATAGCTGGCCTTTCTTTTTTTAATTATTTGTTGAATTGTTTAATATTTTGGTTTTTTCTCTTGTCTTTTCTAAACATAACTGAAATTATTTTTAATAAGACTTCCTACAAACTAAGCATCATTTCCGTTATTTTTTTTATGTCTGCTTAACTACTACTGTATAATTATTTTTAAAGTTTGAAAAAGAAATTTTCGTCCTTTGTGTTTTTTTTTTGTTTTTTTTTTTTTTTGTATCAAGTTAGAAAGTAAACCAATTGCGTATATCGAGTTTTAGAGCAGCAGAGAGAGAGAGTGAGAGAGAGAGAGAGAGAGAAAGAGAGAGAGAGAGAGAGAAAGAGAAAGAGAGAGAGAGAGAGAGAGAGAGAGAAAGAGAGAGAGATTTATGTATACATATGTGCATATTGTTGTATGTTCCATAAATATGCAAGCACACATACCCATATGTATATGTTGTATAATGCCACCAAGCAATAATATATAAATCCTAGATCAATCCCTCACAAGTAAAGATTAACTCACAGCAATGAAATATCTGCAATGAAGACGAAATATTATAAATACATTATTGCACAAAACGATTATAATTATTAATAATAAAGCATATCTATAATTCCAATTGAAATCAAAGAACTCATATAATATATATGCTTAGTTATAAAGCAATGGAAATTGTATACCGGTTTGAGCTGAGTCTACGTTACGTATTTTTTTGCTTTTAAATAAAAACATTCTGAAAGATCTGGACAAACTTATATAATATACTATAAAATTATGAGTTCTGTCTATAAGTCGATCAACATGTCATATGGAAACTATTTGCCAAAAACTATAGCTGAACATTCGCTTAACAGATTAACAATAACACATTAGCGACAATATTTTAAAAGACCAGACGTAACCGTGGAATTATTAAATATATTACGCCATTTTTGAATATTCAAATTATTTTCTTATTATGGGCGAACTGACTTTCAACTCTCTAGTTGACAAATTTGTAATTATTCTTCACAACTAGGATTAAATTAATTTTTCTATATAAATAAATCGGCGTTAGAATCAAACTCGACAAAATTTTTCATTTAATAACGATAAGCAATGACCGAATCGCCGAAACGCTTGCTATCTACTATCAGCATTATATATGTTTATCTACAAATACGATTTTTTCATAGCAATCATAATCCGCAAAAATGTTTCGCAGCAATTGCTTATATATTATTATAATACGGAAATAGTTACATATGTCACTTTAGTTCAATTTCAGTTCAGAAAAAAGTAATTGTCGAACGTTACGGCAAAGAAACCTATACTCAACTAAATATAAATATAAATATATTTAGGAAAGCTAATATTTATAGCTTCAACTAGAATATTGGAGTAAAAATCTATCTTAGTTTGTGGTTAAATACGTAAGTAAATAAATGCATAATTATTATTACTGGCAGCAAGATAAGCAAAATTTACCTTTATTTTCATGACTATCAGCAGTGACTAGTGCAGTAGTAGTTGTTGTCAATAAGCTATTATTGTTATTAAAGTTGACATTGTCTTGGGTATCTAGGCTCAAGTTAATTAATTGATTTGCAGTTGGTACTACATTTTGTATTAAATCAATTTCACTACGAAAAAGAAGAGCAACCAATGTGACACAAACGAATATTAAGATGACAATATAATTTAAAAAAAAAAAATTATAAAAAAATTAAACTTACTTTTTATTATTAATACTATCAATGTGATGGCCATTTCCATTAGCTACAGCATTGGTTGTCAATATATTTTTAGTTTCATTGTTTTGCAACTCAACCAACTTTTTAGCATTTTTCTCTTCAACAACGAACTGATGATGTATGCGCTGCTGCTGCTGCTGCTGTTGCTGCTGTTGTTGCGGTTGCTGATGAATATTTTTTGCATTCTCGTCAATGATCAGATTTGAAAAGCTATTGATCAAAGAATTCTCCTTGTCAATGACCGACTGCTCATACATAGCCTGAGAATTTTGTGGTTCAAATTGAGATTTAATTTCTTCAGCATTTTGTTCTGTCGAGGCTGGCATTACTGGCAGAGCAACTGTATTATTTATAGCAGTCGGTGTGGTGGCTGTAGCACTGGATGAACCCGATGTTGAGTTACTGTCACTGTTCACCGAAATCGAGGTGATAGTTGTTGCCGACGTTGCATTATGGATTGCGGTTAGTTGTTCTTGATTTTCCTGTGGAGTTATTGTTGCTGCATTGGGAGTTATTACTGCCGTCTTCATTATATTATTATTTTCCTTTATTGATATATTAATTAGGGAAAATTCATTCTTTTCAAGTGCAACTATTTATACCTTTGAAGGTGTAGATGAAGGTGTAGAATTATTACCACCACCTCGGCGTGTGCGAGACATAATAGCTTCTACGCGTTTTCGTCGTTCCTCACGTTCTTTTTCTTCGCGTTTCAAGCGTTCGGCAACTACGAGTCTTTGTTTTTCAGCTTCCTCCTTGGCCTTCTTCTCGGTTTCTTCGCGTTCTAAGCGTTGCTTCTCATCCTCCTCGCGTTTACGTTTTTCCTCTTCTTCACGATGTTTTGCTTCCTGCAATGTAAATTTTTTTTTTTTTTTTTTTTTGCTGATGAAAAAAAAGTACTACTATTATCTGTGTCTACTTACCTCAATGGCCTGACGCAAACGCTCTTCTTCGGCCTCACGTTGCTCCTCAGCCAAACGTATAGCTTCCTCCTCGAATTGGCGCTGACGTTCTGTCTCTTCCTCTTGTCGCTTAATTTCAGCCAAACGTTCAGCCTCCAGACGTTGACGTTCCAGTTCCGCCTGCCTTTCAGCTTCTTCTCGAGCCCAACGACGTCTTTCAGCCAGGGCAGCCTTAGCCTCTTCTTCTGTAGTAATTTTACTTTTAGCAATCATAGAAGCAGTCATTGAGTCATGGCTATCGCCTCCGCCAAATTCCCGTACTAGTGAGCCTTCTTTGCTGCTATTATGAGATTTTGGTTTTTCTCGTACAATTGCGTCCGATTCTTTTTCCGTGCCCTGATCGGTCTTTTCTTCTTCTTGAGCAGTTGCACCGCTCATTTTCCTTTCTTTAGCACCGTTTTTTTGTGCGGATGATTTTATTGTATCTGTGTTGTGGTTATTCGATAAAACTTCCGTTTTCACCTGATTCAAAGCCTCTTTTTCTTCTTTGCTCTTTGTGAGCGGTTCTTTATTATCTTTAGGAACGGTTTTATTAGCCGGTGTCGACATTATAGCTGATCTTGTCATCGAGGTCGTTAAATCTTTAGGTTTCTCCCTATTAATTTTATGTAAACGATCTGTGCTGCTAGTCGTAGAGAGCGGCTTAGGAGTTGTAGCCTTTGGAGTTACTGAATCCTAAATGAAGACGAGAGAACATTACCGAAAGTTCAAAATTATAGCATTTTCTTAAATATACCCTCTTATTAGGAGTCTTCTTTTCAGCGCTAGATAAACGCGAGGATGATGTGACTATCAATGATGTGGACATCATATTCGTTGATCGTTTCGGAGTAGTTTGTGCTGACGTCGAAGGTGTTATAGTTTTCATGGGCGGCTTGCTTTCCTTTTTCAATTTATTTATTTCTGTTGTTTTTTTTAAATACACAAACATATATATATTTTTAAAAATGCTTACGAGAAGTAATGGATACAATAAAATAAAAAGTCATTCTTATTATGTATACCTTCTAAAGAGACACCAGTGCCGGCTATGCTCGATGGGCGAGGTTTGCGTGTAGTAGGCATCGACCTTCTAGTGATAAAACCAGATGTGGACATTGTAGTTGATGTGGACATGGAGCTACCGGGTCTAGACGTCAATTGGCCACCGGGTGTAACATTACCAGAACGTGAACCTAAATGATAAAACAATAAAGCATTAAAAACCAAGTTCTTCACAGGCGCTTCAATTTTAAACTGAAAAGAAGAATTAGAAAAAGGATATTATATATGAGATATTCATTTCATTTTTTAAAGGAGTTTGTGAGTTTATATAAAGAAAAACAAAACCAATTCACCACCAGGATACTACACACGTGTACATAATATATTTATTATAATTGTGCATCAATATATATATATATATGTATATATAACCAGACGAGTTAACGAGAAAATGTTTAACACATTAAGATAAGAATGAATGGTAAATATTTAGAAGAAAACCGTTTGCCAACTAAATTTACACACACATATCCATATATATATATATATTTACACATACAATGAGCATTACTAATGACGATTAGTGTGTGTAGTAATTAATTCGGTATAAGAAAAAAAAAAAAAAAAAAAAACGATTACAAATTTCGAATTTGTTGTATTTGCATTTAAATTTGAACATAATGCACTACTACTATATGCTGTAATAGTAATACGAGAGACAAGAGAGGACAACATAACGGTAAAATAGACAAGAAATAGAATTAATGATTGATTATCTTTACTCTTTTTTGCTAATTGATATTCTGTAGGCCATATACCCGCCGGTAGATATTATATGTAAGATGCATTCGAGTTTAAAAAGATGAGAAAAAAACGAGAATATAATTTATGATGAATATATAACTTAAAAATCAGTGTGCTTTGATTAAGAATCACTTGAGAAAACGCAACCTAAACCTTATTAAGCGTGCTTATGTATTACATATACATATATGATTAGGCTACACAACAAATTGATAAATAATTTTAATGGAATGTAATTATCTTTTGTTACGAATTATGCTTAACATATGATGCAAGGGAAGTACGGATAGTGTTATGTGCAAATAATTTGAAAATTCCCTTAAAACTATAAAACATATAAAAAAAAAAAAAAAAAAAAAAAAAAAAACGATCCGAAGATCCCACAACCTTGGAATACATTTTCGCATCACAGATACCAGATATCGTCTAAGAAATCTTGAAAGGAGGTGAGCCCAGGTGGTGCATGAGCGGCGCAATATTCGCCGACGATAAATAAATACATCTGACAATGGGCATTTTTCATTAGAACAAAAACAAATAAAAAATGATCTCAAATGCACCCTGCTAACTCTAAACCATTTAAAAAGAAGGAGATCAAGAAATATTAGCAAAACAAAGTATTAACTTTCTTGTAAGCTTTATTCGCGCAATTGCGGAATCTTACTTATTCATCATTTGAAGCCATTTTTTTTTTTTTTTTTTTACTATCAAGTTAGATTTTTCCTTGGCCTTTATATCATTTAAACAAATCGAAATTGTATTAACGACCGTTGTTTATAAAGATCTCTTTCGCAATACGTTGTTTATCAATAATATTAGTCGCAGTGTCCATCCATTAAGTAGATAATAATTCCCATAATTGGTGAGACTTTGTTTTTTTTATTTACATCTTTTAGCAAAACTCAGGGCGAATAGCTGTTCTCATCTGCTCTTAATATTATTATTATTATTATTACTATTATTATCTTTTTAATTTGTTGGTTATGGGATGAATTAAATAAAAGTTACTTGACTTAGAGAGACTACTATTCGTACTTCCCCTTTTTGTTTTTTGCTCAACAAAAATATATTTTTTTTTTTTTCGCATTATGAGTCTTAAAAGAGATACACAGGCAAAGAAAGAGAAAAAAATTGAAAAAAAAATGATATGAGATGGTTTTTTGACAAAACTGGATTTTGGTGTGGTTAGGAAAGAGAGTAAAGTAAGAAAAAAAATATATATGGTATTGGAGAGTAATAAAAAAAGGGTATTATTTATAAACTTGAATCCGATACTTGTTTGGATATTGCGAGCGCTCTCACACACACACACACACACACCTGGGTTTAGGAGTAAACTAGGAGAGTTCATGAGTAACAATGAGTCTGTGTCGTAACGGTAGGGGTTAGTAGTAGAGAAATGCAGCTGGCCCCGTTTAGTGGTGTTGGATGTAGGTGAAGCTAATGATGATTGTAGATATTTTTTGGTGGCGGCAGTTTGTAAGCCTAAATTGGAGCGTGATGATGTGCTAGTAGACCAGGCATTGCCCAAGTGTATCATACTTTTACAGGCAACCCTACTGCCGCTACCTAATGGTAGAAAGCTGGTGGAAATTCCCCCACCTAAATTATATTTTGGACGTTGTTGTGCTCCGCCACCGGCCAAATGTGTCATACTGCGTGATATGCTACTATTTGCACCTCTACCCGTCTTTTTAGCGGCACCCGAACGCTGATGTCCACTGCTTATAGATTCTGTTTCATCTAACATTTCCATTTGTTCACGGCGCTCACGTTCCAATATAGCACGTATATGTTCGCCATTGCGACGAATCGGTTGTGCCAACTGATCCAAACGGTTCATCGAATATGCACGTCCTTTTTATATATATATATATATATATATAAATATACATATATATACATATATGCATATAAATATATATATATATACACATATTTTGCATTTAATTTTATTTTTATTTTTTTTTTCGTTTTCGGTTTGTATAGCAGATGGCCAGTTTAGCGGTGAGATGATTTGAGGAAAGCGATCGATAACAAAGTTAAAAAAAAAAAATTTCGATGATAAAATAATTAAAAATTTTAATGTAAAATTAAATTTTACAAAAACTATTATATCTATAAAAATTAAAAGTTTTTTTTTTTTTTTCATAGAATTGTGCAGATAAAGGTGGTAAAAGAAAAATAAATAAAAAAATTATTAAAAAAATAGATAGGTAGTGATATAACCAATATATTATAAACCTATAGCCCTAACAAAAGTGAGCCAATGTATTTATAAGACATAAAATATTAATATGATAAAATGGCCGATTAGAAAATTATAAATTAAATTTACAAATAAACAATTTTTATATAATATATGTTATGTATACACATATATCAGTATGCAAGCATAGTAATGTTCAAAAACGCTTTTACAGGATGCGGTTTCGTTGTATGATCTGTCAACAAGAAAATTCTACTAAGAAATTTCTATAGCATACATATATATATATATATATGTATAGATATATGTATATCCTGTTTAGACATACAAAAATTTATTAAAAATTTCATTGAAACTGAACTTTCGTTGAAAGAAAACCGCTAGCATTGCAAGCAATATTTTACTTTCCATATTGTCCGCGACCGATATTATATTTATGGATAAGAAAAAAAGGAAATTTATTATACCATATTCGTGTTGAAATTAATATTATTTTGATATTCTATTGTAATAACGTCCTATTGTTCAAAGATGAATTCATGCTAACCACCAATTCGAGGGTAGTCGCAATGAGCTCTTCCCTGCTTGTATTGTACTTCCCCCTCGGTGTTTTTTTTTAACATAATAGAAATGTTTATTGTCCGACAATTAAATCATTAACTATGACAACGAACGACATTAGAAGCCATAACATAGCCTTAAAAAAAAAAGAAAAAAAAAAAAAAAAAAACGGAGCAAACAGAAATAGAGGACATATGTACAATCTATTGCTCCTCTCCCGCCGAATGATTTATGTGGTTCTAACGGTTGAGACAGTTGTTCTACGATCGAAAGATGAATATACACAACAACATACGTTAACTCGCAGTTTTCGATATCAATGTCTCAACTCTGGAAGGGGAAAAATGCTTAAAATCGACTCAAACTGAAAGTGTATATTCTTTAACAGATATTTCCAGATGGTACAGATGAAGCGTCTAAACTAGCCTCTTTCAGGACATGCCTTTTTCTAACAAATCATACGACGTGGCCGTATCATGTAAACGGTCCCTAACAGAATATCACTTTCTCTGGTTTTTTTTCCAAAATTTGAAACATAAGAAATTTGGAGGCACTCTCTTGGAGGCGATACTCCTTGCTACTGCTACTAAATAATTAAATTTTTCATGTTTGTTGAGAAAAAAAAAAAAAAGAAAGAAAAATAAGTAAATAATGGAAACGAAATGATAAGATATTTAAATTTAAATAAAGGGATAATAATTTGTATGTATGTTTACGAAACGGGGAGGAAAAGAGAGGCTGATATTTTGGTAATGAAAATGTATTCTTGTTTAGTATGTTCAGTGTCTTACCTGGTGTTCTAGGTGTACTCAACGACGACCTGGAACCGTAATGTCCATCCCTAGGACTGGGTATAGTTGGCATAAGGTCAGTTTTTCTTCGTGCCACACTTCGAAACACAATGTGCGATGTATCAACATTATCTTCTGGAAATTTCGTTTTGGTAAAAATTTATGGATGGATAGGACGGAAAATATTATATATACATACATAATTAATATTATGTATATTCTAGAGATACATGATGAATTTGAAATAATTTCAAATCAAATCAAAGAAATCTTAAGAAGAAAACTATTAAATATCACGCAATAATAATAATAACAACATCAACAACAACAAGAATGTAATAATAACAACAATATCGATAAAAGAATCATGCTTTAAAAAAGCTTGAAGAAACATTTCAAAAAGTTATTCTGAATTGGGTTAGAGCGAAAAGAAAAACTACTACTCAAGCATTATTGAAACTAATGAAACTCCTCTGTATGTATTCATTGTTACAATACGCATACATACGTATGCATTTTACCATTAGATTGGGAAAAAAAAAAACGCCTTATGGCGAACCGCTAATCCACATCATTTTAACCCGATGATGTAACACACACATCTATCGACGTCCATTGCGTGCGCTTGTAGATGCACACGACGTCGACTGCAGTCCTATTCTTAGTACTATAAAGCGAAAAAAAAAAAGTGTGTTTTATTTATTTGAAGCACGCACTGATTTTGATATGAACATCAACGTGTTAATCGAACACCTGGGTACTGGAACATTTTTGACAGATATGATATCAATATCTTCCACAGGCCCGCTTTTAAACTCGATCTATGATCAATTAACTACTAAGTGTACATACGCTAAGTTACAATTTTCTACGTCGACTTTAGTGAGTCTGCACATACCCAACGCAAAAACAAGCGATGCACGGACGCATTTCCATACGGACCGAATTAAATCGATTCAGAATCAATATTTTATGTTATCGAATTTTATAATGTGTACATCTAAGTAAAATGCATTTAAATCGCCCGGACTTACCCAAAGAAGCTTTCGGTTCTTAAGGTTAGGAATACCCGAACATGCCAAAAATTTCATATCATGTACGAGATACGCTTCTTTACATTTTCCGATGTGGTTTCATACCTTCAATCGAGTTAAAAGCACGTTTCCGGGTCGGTATTCAGACTTGTTAAAGTAGCCAAAAGTAAGACGAAGCTACATTAGATGTATGGGACGATTACGGGAAATGGAAAAGAAGCGAAGAACCGATTCAGTATAAGAAAAGTGCATTACAGTGATGCAAAAATCGAGCATTTTCTACCGCATCACTTGTAAAGCACAAATAATATTCCTAGTTAACAGTTCCGCCCGGCGGAAAGACTTCATAATTAGCCAAACCAGAAAAGATACGTCTTACTACTTTTTAGTTGCAATCATACAGTAACTCGATTCTTGCGTAGCGGATTAAAAACCGAATTCCATTGTCGATGGATATGGATGAGTATTAACGCAATTATCTTTGGTGCTTTCTTTGCCATGGTTTGTCGGAACATTTCTGTAGTGTACATACTTCCCCCACATTTTTTTAATATAAAGCATCATCATTCATATGAAATATATTACAAGTCTCCAGACAAGCGAAGTTGTAGCTCACACACGATGACTAATAAGGGCTCAATGCAGACGACTATGACGCATTGACTGACTTTGTTACAATCTTCTCCCCGTATTATTTCAAGGTCTTGTTTTGTTGTTCGTTATGAAGATAAGTCCATATGCGTAATGACCTTAAAAGTCCACAATTATTTCGTACAGTTCATACACTGATAAACTGATTCCTTTTCAAAGATGTATATTTCAAAATATGTCCGCTTACGGCGAACGCGAAAGGCTTAAAGCGCAAATTTTACGATCATCATCTGTCCATAGTTCGTTGCTCTGCATTGGATGACTAATTAATTTTATTTAAAAAAAAATATCATCTCGGATGAATTGTGTCGAGTTCTCGAAAATTCAGAAAACCATGAAGGATTTTGCAGTCGTATACATATAATACTGGCTTTCTACTGGCGCTGTCGCATAATCGTATTTCACTTCAATGCGGACAAAACATTGTTGCGATACTGAACTGATGCATGATGCATTTTAATTCAATACTGATGACATCCCATTGTTCTTTCTTCTCGAACTTACAATATACGTCATGGATTGTATTATTAAATGCAGTTACACAACTTTGTTTATATCCGAATTAAAATGAAATAATTTCCAACCGATCTATAACACAATATATGGGGGTTAAGAGAACGAACGCATTGCAGAAAAATATTATAAATTTCACTTCTCTTCCGCAACAAATATATTCTGCGGGTCAATAATGAACGCTATGAACGCATGAATTCAATTTGAAGAAGAAGTCGCGCTGAGTAGCTGTGAGTACTAATTATTATTTGAATATCTCGCTGCTTTCATTGTCGTTTTAGTTAGTAGTGGCCTAACAAGACTACTCTCACAAGAAGTAGGACTTACTTGAATGAAAGAGAAAAGAACGCAGACATAGCATGTGAAAGAAAAATTGATTTTACAATAATCGACTTAGGATAAGGTGTTCTTTTTTCCGTTTAGCTAGTATCGCGTTTTCAATATTACCTAATGACGGTTATATTTAAAACAAGCACATATTCACTCTCTCTTATGTATTATTACGAAATTTGAAAAAATTTTTTTTTTAAACAAGCGTCCAATTTGTAGCTTCACAAGTTGCAAAATTATCTTTAGCAGAAACAACAAATTCAGCGATTATTGCCAAATGTTATTTCGGAAGAATTATGACGAAAATGCTGTGCATGTATGTACCTATAAAAAGGAGGTGCCAATAGTAGCTATTATCCAGTTCAGGATAGATAGATAGATACATAGATAGACGAGACACAATTGATCATGTCTAAATATTCGAATAATATTTCTTTACTATATTTCTATCTATACCTATCTTCCACAAATTCAAAATATTTGTGCTCCTTGTGGGGAGCAATATAAACTAAGTAGAGAGCTCGAATGCAACGGCCATTGCAACAATAATAGCTTATCAATATATTGGAATCAAAATATTTATATGTTATGGGTAAGAGAATGGATATTTTTTCTAAATAAATATTTACTTAGTTTTGCCGGAGCGACTCAATTTGACTTATTCATACGATTTTATTGCTATATATATGAGAAAGAATTTGAGCAATGTCGTGGTTTTCAAAGAATTAGTGATCACTTCTGCTCCCCACTTCTTCTCCTCCTTAGTTCCAAAAATTCGTACGGGTTACATCTATTTTGACGGGTATGTAACGGAGAGTCAAATTGATTCATTAAATATTGAGCACAGCCAAGTCTTGCTATGAGCTCAGACGCAGACATAATGATCGACGAGCAAAATGTCTCCAACTAAAGCCAGGTGCCCATTAACTTAATACATGCCGAATAAACTGGATAAACTTGATACCAAGTTTGGCGTCCGTTGTCAAGGTCAAGTATCTGTCAGTCGAAAGAAAGAAGAAATGAAATGGCCATCTGTGCTCAATGTAATGGAAAAATCTGCTTCAAAGGTATTTTAAAAACCTAACTTATTTGTATAAGGGCTTCTTTAAAATAAAATTTTATTTATTTATTTTTCAAATTCTCAAGTTTTACTGCCTCAATTAAATTGACCCATATTTCAGGGGAAATAGGCATGTACTCAACATTCTAGTATCCAATCTAGTACTAATTACTTGTCTACTTGATCTGCTTGGGATTAAATTAAAAAAATTCTCGTCTTAAATGTTTTCGTTTTTTTTTTTTATTTTAGAATTATTGAAGCGACAGTCAAAAACAAGCATTCGCACGCAATTTTAATCCGTTATTATCTATTGATCGCAAACGCTACGCAAATTTATTAATTCGCTAATTCCAATATGATCAACCGAAATCAATTACGAAAGTGGAGTGCATTGTGGAAGACACAGTTCGTAAAGACGACGGCTGCGCCACGCGTGTTGTGGGTACATCACTGGGGTGTAAAATCTCTGCCTACTTTTGTTGCCATTGACCTACGGACAACTATTCGATATTGCAATCATTTATTTGGCTTTCAGAAAAGTTGGAACGGATGATAGAGAAAAAGATAAAGTGTCCTGTCCTCTACAAACCGCATTCATTATTAATCACTTTAATAACTGAAAGATACACCTGACGATGTATGTCATTTTGTTTTAATATTTAGTTGAATATAGAAGTATAACAGCTAATTATATTATTATACAAGTTATGTACAAAAATAGTTAGAAATGAAACATTCCATGCAAATACTTCGAGCCATTCGTTTTCGTTAAGATGGGTAAGCGTTTTTGTTGTTTAACATATATGTTCAAAGCAGGCAAAAAATACAATTTTGTTTATATTTTGATAAATGGCAAACAAATATTAAGAAACTTAAAGGGGGCACAGGGAAGAAAAGAAAAAAATAAATAAATAAATCAAAAAAAAAAAAAAAAAAAACAAGAAAAATCGAACCGGAGAACGAACATCCAAAAAAAAAAAAAACAAAAGCAGAGAAAAGAAAAGAAAATTATACAAAATGGGAATTAATGTTAAAATAAATCTGAAAATTCTGATGGTAAAGAGAAACTAAAAAGACAAGATGCAATTATCATAATATGTAGGAGACCGCATCCTCTCACCCTTGCTAATAGTAGAAGTAGTAGCAGATGCAGTAGCAGAAGATGTTGTATAGAAATTATGATTTGAATATTGTTTATGATGGTGCTCTGTAGAAGTGTTTCTACTGTTGTTGGTGTTGCTACAATTATTGTTGCTATTCTTATTGATGATGACATTTGCCGCTGTACCAGTTAAAGTGGAGGAAGGAGGTCCATCAATATTAATCTCACTACTGACTATAGAAAGTGAAAATCTTTTAGGTGGCTCATCATTCCAATGGAAAACCTCGTACATGGATGATGATTTGCGACGATGATCTTTAGTTGTTGTTGTTGTAATAATAATAGTAGTAGATAATAGTAGTAGTAGTAGTAGTAGTAGTAGTGGGCAGTGATGATGATAGTATTCGTGTTGTTTGTTGTTGATAGTGGTCGAGGTTGTGTATTGCAAAAAAAATTGCAAATAAAACACAAGTGAAAAATTAAACAAAAGGTGACACAACATTATAAAAATAAGATTTATGACCAACAGTTCAAACAGATGAATCTGTTCTTCCGAAATCATAGAATAAGTGATCATATATAATAAATATTTAATAAATAATAAATAATGATAAATATGATATATATAAAATATATATATATATATATATATATATATATATATATATAATACAATAATCAGGCAAATTATATATTAAATTGAAATGTGTAAACGTGCTGTCTCTTGTTTTTTCCTTTTTCCCAAAGAAGTTTTAACAATTTTCCTTCAAATTTAAAGAGTTCCATAAAGAAAAATAATTTTCTCGTAATTTTAATATTATATATATATGTATATATAATATATATAATATATTCATATATATTATGTTTATAAAAAACTTAAAAAAAAGAAAAAAAAAAACTTCAAATTAAAATACGTTCACTGCTAACAAAGATTGTTAACACTTTTTTTTTTCAAAGAAGTTTTCACAATTTTCTTTCAAATATAAAGAATTCATAAAACACACGTACTATTTTATATATAGAAGAGAAAAAAAAAAAAAAAGGGAAAAACAAAACTAAATTAAAACACATTTACTAACAAAAATTGTTAACACTCATGGTCGATAAAAACCAAAAAAAAAAAAATAATAATAATAATAATTAGAAAAAAGAAGAAGTATATAACGACAACGTTTTTTACACTGTGCTCATTTAATATGAGACACAGGCATTATTGCAGCCAATTGCCAGACAAAAAGTTATACATACATACATTGTGTTAACATTAAACTAAGAATAAGAACAGGTTCTAATTGTTATAAGTGCTTTTTGCTCTTTTCGTTTGTACCGTAGAGTGTGTACTCTGCTTATGAATTGACTTACCATCGTGTCGCTCTGTGCCACTGGCAGATGTTGCACGCTTTTTAGTACCACTATCGTTAAGTTCACGTTCTGAACTACGACGTGACAGCGAAGCACCGGCAACATTAGATATAGAAGTGGAACTGTAATGTAAAAAATTAACAACTTTTAGAACAACAAATGCTTGAACGGTAGGTAACAACGATCTGATTATAAAACTATAAATACAGAAGAAAGAAAAAAACATTTTGACATATGTATAGACTAACCGTCTTTGGCCCCAAAAGGTGCTAGGTGATACCATACCAAAATCAGCTGGCTCCAATAAACGCGGTGTTGAGGAACCGAAAGCATATCCATATGAATTTCTTTCACGTTTCTTTAATTCCAATCTGGTTTCTCTTTCCTGAATTATTTATTTGAAAGAAAGACATAAACAATATTTATTTGTTGTTGTTTTATATCTATGTCGGCGCAGTACTGCAAAATATTTTCAATATACTCACCTGATTTTTTCTAAGTATATATTCACGTCGTTCTTTTTCGGCTTCCATAATGGCTTTTTTACGCTCTTCGACTTGTAATCGCTTCTCAGAATCTCGATGTCTAATTTCTTCAATTCTGCGTCGGCGTTCCTCCTCCTTTTGTTCACGATATCTTTGTGCTGCTTCTGCTTGAGCCTTTAATTCTTCAATTTTTCTTTGCCTTTCTTCATTTTGACGTTCTCTAGCAACTTTCAATTTATCGTCACGCTCTTTGGCTGCTGCTAATATTCGCCATCATTATTATTATTTTTGTTATTATTTGATTATATTTTAGCCATTAATGGAAATGGAAGGCAGCGGCAAAGGCAAAGGCGAACACCGCATACACCAAACACACAGCACAAATACAATACCACACGCAAAAACCGCACAACGCGAATGTTGTTTGCATACATCGTGAAGAAGTGAAAAAAGAAGACAGTCAACCAAAACGAAGAGTAAATAGCAAATCATAATGTAACTAAAATTTTCCGTATATCACGGCATGTGTGCGTGTGTGTGATCAAATGAATAAGTAAGTAATAGTTAAAAGGAGAAAAGAAAATAATAAAAAACGTAACAAAAAAGTTCATATTAAAATATGAAAAATTACATTTATTTTTATTGGTGATTTGGTTTAAAAACATGAAAAGAGTCGTGTGAAGCCTGAGAGAGTCAAAAAGGAGCCTCAACTCTCATTACTGTATACATAACGGCAAGCAGAACATTTCCATTCTCACTGCTAAGCCACTGTTTATCGTATACCACCACACAACAGGTGCACATATATATGGCAAAAGCAAACTTTATTCTCTTTGTTTGGAGTTTTGAAGTTTTCGATAACCATTAAAACAGTCAAAAAAAAAAATAAAAAAAAAAAAAACTTTTAGGATTTAGTTTGTTCATCGAATTCATGTTTCTACTGAGTGCTGCAGATAGCTAGCTAGATGGGACAAATTCATACCTTGTGGTCGTCTTAAAAGCCCATGCTGTCGAAATCAATTGAATATATATATATATATAAAAATAGTAAAATCTTTTAAAAATTCCTCATGGAGAAGAACCATTGACTTGTAGTGCATGTTTATCCATCACCACATACAATACTAGAGCGATTTTCAATTCGTGTAAGGAAAAATTAATTTGCTAACTTCATTTGCACGGAGGGATTTGCGAAATGAGAGGTAGCGAATTTTTGCTTCTAATATTGTACCCCTATCACGATAAAAAAAGAGAGAGAGAGAGAGAGAGAGAGAGAGAGAGAGAGAGAGAGAGAGAGAGAGAAAGAGATTGTGGACCTTAAAATCTGTAGCTGATAAACAAAATGTATTTTTCCTTGACACTTTCAAACGGTACATTCGTACGCACTAAAATTCGCAATATAAAATTTTAAAGAAAATATCGGATATTTTCTACTTCAAAACTCATTTAAGATATTCACTTGTAATACCGCTTAATCCGGCCATCAAGCAATTTTGCGGAAGCATCTCGGATTTCTTCTTCGAATTTGCTCCATTAAATATCACTTAACTCAAATCACAATTGCAAAAAAAAAGTCGTAACATGGTTTTTGCGAGGAGAAAAGATTACACATCCCAGTCCCAATAGAAATAATCAAGTTTCCGTTCAGAAACTACTTGTCCGATATCCACAATTAATTTCGTGACCAAATTATCAAAGTGTATGCGCGACCGCATACATACATATTCATTTCACATGTTGACATCAAGCCTTTCGTTAGGCTCTACTTCATTTTAAATACTTTATGTTATATCAGCATTGTTATCGTAATTCCTTCTCGTTCAGGAAATTTTCTTCAAACAAGCAGTGAATGAAAATCAAATAAAAAAAAAAAAAATCTTTTCTTATTTCTTTTTTCATTATTTTTCCCCAATGATCTAGCAGATGAAAAATTGATGGTAATTAAAGGCGACGAAAAGCGATATCACGCACACAACTGCCTTTGAATTCTCAACTCTCCGGCAAACTACTTTACTACCTTTGATTGTATCGATAAAGCGTAATTTTTCAGCAAACGATTCCTGATGGAACCGCTAGTAAAAAAATTATTTTTTGAACTACAGAAACTATATTTAACACTAATAAATTTATTATTTATTTTGAATACATATTATATATATATATATATATATATATATATTTATATATACATATCCATACATACATGCATGTATATAAATTGACTTACCTTTCTTCTAAACGACACGTAATAAATTGTGTTATCAGATATTGTATATTTATATACAATATATATATATATATATATATATATGTAGATAGATAAGACAGTTTATTAACGATGTGCTATTTGAGAAGAAAGGTAAATCAATTTTAGACTTTGACCGAGTTAAGTATAACGTGCACTCTTCCATGTACACTTTATTTAATGAAAACGTAGCGGACGAAGCGGTCAGCGCATTATGTTTAATGCTTAGCGAAAAAAAAATAAATCAATAAACCATCGATAAATTTTAAATGAATATTATCGAATAAGAAAAGAGGCAGACGCTTATTTATTGACTTGCTTTTGCTCCGCGTCTAATCTTACGTAGTACGAAAAAGTTGTTTTCCATTTTACAAAAATAATAATATAACAACATGTGCTGCTAAAAGAGATTCATTTCATTTATATATTTCTATGCATGCACAAAATAAAGACACATGTATATATGTGTATTCCATTGTAAATTTATTATATAGAGCGGCGGCTCTATTTTCTTCATTTATAGAATAATGTGAAATTATTGCGTCATCGTTGATTCTCTACAAGCTTTACTTGGAATAATAACGAAAAAATATGTAAAATTTTTCACGTACACATTTACAGGAAAATTTACAGATATATATGCACATCTGATGATACCGTTTATAAGCGGATTTAGGTTAACTGGTGGTAATTAAAATTATTCATAAGGCGTTCAATTTTTTATATTGTTTTTTTTTTTTTTTGTTTTTGTAAGGCACCAATTCTTATTTCTATTTATTTATTTATTTATATATTTTTTATTTATTTATTTTTTTTTAAGATCGAAATGTCAATAATCAAAGTAAATGAAAAAGGAAAACTTCCGAATTCTCTTTCGATTAGTAGTTTCACTTAAAAACAGTTAAAGCCCAGCACACTTTGTTGTATTTAAAATACATATGAAGTATATATGTTTATTTACACGCATATATATATATAGGTTTATACATGTCTATACCTATGAAAAAGAAAACATATAATTAAAAGTAATTAAACTTCAATAACGTGTAGGGGTGGATGGGTGATTGGCTGGTTTATTGATTTCAATTACATTGACATTCACAAGAGCCTAAAATGAATACACTTTTACGCGCACCTAACCGCAAACTAAAAACAATTAATAGAAAATAAGTTTTTGATTGAAGAAAGCCTTCGGATCGTTAAGCACACAGCAAAATTAAATAAACTTTGGAATTATAGCCATATTCGCGTAGTCATGCTTAACATACTTTCGAAGTACGAATAAACTCTATTAAAAAAACAAAACTAAGAAGAAAAAAAAGCATTTCTCTCTCTAATTTCCTTAAAATCCATTAGCAAAATTTATTTAGTAAAGTTACTGAAAATATTTTAAAAAAAAAGCTACATTCAACAATACTTCGTTGCCGGCCGAATGGCTTGCGGCATAACAATGTTGGTTTTGCAAAAAGATAGTTGAAAAAGTAGAAGTGAGTGAAAGTATATTTACAAGACTTTAACCTATTATCTGATGCTGTTGTACATATTATTATATGTACAATATTATCTGATATTTATATCAATATATACGACCGGGCCGTTCGTTACTCAGTATAACTATTCTTCAACATGCACCAATTTTTACCTTTTGAATCCAAATATTATATCGTTTTCGGACTTTCCTTTTAACACTAGGGAGGGAGATGGGATTACTTTTTAAAGATTTGCTAGAGCAAAAACTGTTTGATGATAGCGGACTAACAACTATACTAGAAGAAGAAATCAGTGAGTGCTTCCTGGAAACACGCTTCTTTTTTTTTTTTGTTTTACAATATACTAAAAATATAGGATTGCTATAGACGTCGTAAGTGTCTCTACAAGCACACGCAATATACGCCTATAAACATCGTTTATATCAATAGGTTAAATTATTTTCAGGAGTTTTTTGTTTTTTTTTTCATACAGATTTAATTACCCTGGAGAAAATCTATCCATTTTCATTTCCCTCTTACACTAAGCAGGCATAAACATTCTGTCCCGCAAAATATCACTCAATATATGGCAGATTCAAATTATTAGATACGAATAAAATGTGCCCATCCCCTTGACATAGCCACACATGACGTAGAAAAGGAAAGCACTTCAAAATAGTAGTTGTTGGATAGTTTTTCTTAATTTTCGGACGAAAGCGAAACGAAATATTTTCCAAAAAATATTCGTTGGCGAGCAAAGGCTAACAATTACAAAATGATTTCTATATTATAACACAAATGGATAAAGTATTTTTGGATCGATAAATGAATCGAAACAGTGTCGTGTTAATGTGTCCTCGTAACTACTTTCTTTTCAGCTGAAAAGAAAAAAAATTTTGCGGTGAGATCGGTTGCACACCGTCTTCCATAACGAAATTTATTCATCCAAAAGATAAAAACAGGTTATTGGTGGTACGGGTAAATAAAATTTATTTATTTATTTTTTTTAATGAAAACAGACGGCAGAGGGACATGACTGAGTCTAAAATATTTAAAAATCGAAAATGTACATATAGTTGTTATGCTCTCGAAATCATGTTTACTGAATGTTGCAAAGAGAAGGACAAGTCTGCTTGCACCATCAATCAATCGGTGATTTTCAAGTATAGTAGAGTTATAAAAATTTCGCAAAGATATGGGATACAATTTTTATTATCGTTATTATAGCTATAAACAATCTAATGATTCTTAGAAATTATATGAGTTTAGAGAGGAATTTTTGTTTTTTTTTCTTTTTTTCACTTAAAAATTATTTTAAAATTTTGCAAGAAAATTTTGCCATGCAAAGCTTTTTGTAAAATTTTCTTAAAAACGTAGAAAAGTTTTCTGTAAAAATTTGCCAAAATTTAAACTAAATATCATACATCAGTATACGTATGCATTCAGTTAGTCGAAAAATTAAGAAATAGATTGTTTGCCTTGCGGCGAATAATCGTGGTTACACGCAACACACCTTGACTTTTCATTTCTTAATGTCCATGATATGACACAAACGTGAAAAGGGACGATAATGTCAATACAGTTAAATTATAACAAATTATAGAAGACAATGGGAAATTTCCTCAGATTTTTAAGCGAATTTGAAAAATGAGTAAAATAAAAGACGAGAAATGAAAATTAAATTTCATTTATGTTAATTTTCGAAAATTTCTTCAACTTCCAGTAGATGCATTAGACTTTCTATACACGGACGACGAGGCAGACAGATTCCCGAATTCATTAAAAATATATAAAAATACATTTTGAGAGAGACAGGCAACGAATCAGGTCCGGCACGATTGCAGGATCTATTGCGAAACAAATTCGATTAATCCAGAAATCAAGTTTCAAAATTCTGCAAAATGTCTCTACCAAGTTAGCGTTGGATTAGCTCCACGTTAGTCTTTCGACGAAGGTGTTTGCAAGCAGTTTTGCTTTAAAGAAAAATTTCAAAGGGATGTTGTTACTGAGTTTTTATGCAGATGGAAATTAAAAAAAAAAAATTAATAGAATTTTAGTAAACAACTTAATAAAATGAGTTAAATCCTTGTTGCTCGAAAAAAAAAACAAACAAAGAAAAATCTATTATATTGAGAAAATTAGTTTTAATTACCATTTCTTTCAACGCTACCTTCTCGGCTTTCTGGCTGTTTAGTCACGTCGCCTGCAAAGATTCAAATAAAATGTCAAATTAATTTAAGAAACTCTGAACGATTCATTGAATAAATTGACAACAATAATTAGCATTTATTAAAATTGAATAAATTGAGTATAAAGTTTATTATTTATATGACGTAATATGTAAAAAATGTAAACAAACTTATTGAAGTTGAGATTACCATAACCGCTGCACAATGGTAGCTTAGGTGGTAATGTATAAATTATGGTTAAAGTTTTTTTTTTTAATATAATATACACACACACACTTTTATTATTTATTGTTACCGTTCTTTCTCTGGTCGAAACATTGCATTCGAAAAAGTACTATTATCACATGCAAGACTATATGAAGAAGTTTTGGATTTATTTAACTTATCTAATGGACTGAATTAATTTACTCGTTATTGAAACTTGTAAGAAAAGTCCATTCAAAGATGCGCTCAAACATTATTTATTAATTGCTGACAATGTACTGTGTTGAAAAATGCAAGCGTGCGTACGCACCCTATTGAAGAACTGATATATGTGTTTAATATATGCCCAGCAGGGGTTAGTTTACATTGCAACAGCAGGAGAAACAACTAAGAAAGCTATAATCGTCTTGGAGCGAATTTTGAATGCCCAACAATTTTAACAAATGTATATACATACATAAGCGCACTGTATTCAACTTGAATCAAATCTCTATTACAAATATATTTGATTACAAAACATCATAAGAGAGATGCATTCATTTCACATGATGTTAAGTGAGTAGGCACTTCATCGGTAATTGTACAACAAACTAAAGGCAACAAATTTTTTATATGTGGTATTTTAATAATGAAGTGCGCAACTCATTGAATCACTTTGATACATTTCCAAATTTCACATGATTAATATGCTAAGGGAAAACTTGAGAACAGCTTTTTTTTTTTAATTTTTAAATATGGGTTTGAGGATTAAGGCGTAATTTCAACGAACAAGTAGACGGGCGAACCGGTAGCTACTTATAATCAATTCTGGTGAAGAATAAATATACTTTGTAAGAATTCTTCGATAGCTAGCGGACTTACGTTTTAAGACATGACACAAGCCTTAAAACGAAATTAAAATACCTTCGTAGCGTTTTGGGAGAATATAAAAATGTATGCGGCAAGGAGCAAGTGCAATTATATGTTGAGGAAAAAAGTAAATTTACATGCATATGCAATGACAACACCAGCAGCAGCACAAAAAAATTTTTTAAAAGCAAGGCAGAAAAAAAAGGCGAATCAGTTGATTTTGCACAAAAGGAAATCTTATAAGGATAAAATGGCTGAAGAAGAAGGCATGATGATTCTCTCGCTTGAGAGGTTAGACCACAACACACATGACTCATGTAAAGGTTTTTGACTTGTTGTCTTGTTTTTTTTCTTTCCACTTTTTAAGCGAACATCATCAATATGCAAAACGTACAAAAAAAAAAAAGAAGAAAAAAAGAGAACCAGAGCACAAAACAAAACTCTACTTATATAGAAAATTTTCCAGAAAATTTGGAGAAATAGAAAGTATTATTATGATTGATATATTTAAAAAAAAAAAAAAAAAACAAATTTATTAAGCTGTTTTTTAAAACAGATGAGTAGTACACATAAGCTAAATAAAAACCATACGGAGCCTGTCGTCAGTTAGGTAGGTAATAGTTTTGCGGCAGGCAGCTGCGCTACGAATGTTATTGCAACATACAAATACAGCAACACTTTTTTCTGGAATTTGCTGGCAATTATATTTATAAACTTCGAGGTGACTCCCAAATTATGATTAACTCAATGCTTTCAGATATGTCTTTTTTTTTTTTGAATTTTCTTTCGTTTTACGTCCGTGTAGTTATCTGACTTATTACTTGGATGAGTTTAAAGATCTTCTGCCATCAACTCCCTTAGATATATCGTGAAACCGACATTAGAGAATATTTAGGAGTCAGTGCAATGCGTTATAGTCAAGGCTGTATATCAATCGATTTGTTTTTCCGACATCACTTAACATACACACATGCATATATATATATATATATATTTATATACATATATATTTTATATATATATATATATATATATATATATATATACGCACAATACATGCATGCAAGCACACTCTATACACATAACACAATTGAATTTTTTTTCTGCCAACATTATTAATCACCGCACAAGAGAAAAAAATTTTTTACATATAATTTATGAACTTATTTACACATGAATTTTTTAATTTTCACATACCTGCTGGAGAATTTGATGACATTTTTTGTTCGCCCCCAAGACTCGCCATACTTTTTTAACAAATTTTTTTATTCAACGTGAAAAAAATTCACACGGAATTTTTCCTCCGCAGTTTTTAGAACTAAAATGACGAAGACAAATACAAGACAAGAAAAGTAGTATTGTAAAAATATCGACTACTTTTTTTGGTTTTTGCAAATTTCTCTCGTATATATTTTCACTGTTCTTTTATTCGTGTTCGATTGTGTGACTGTTTTTTTTTCCAATGAGATGGAAAATTATCGATAACATTACCGATGAGAGATGGTGAACATTAATATATGTAAAGTCTGCATGAGCAGTAAAACTGTTACAGATTTGAAAGCATATGAACAGCGATTTGAAGCAAATTCGATTATTGCCGTTTAATGCAATGTGCACTGCTAAAAGTGATTAGTTTTCGGAAAATATACAATTATTTCTATGTGATTATTATTTTACAATTTGCCTTTTCTATTGCTTCTTTGTGTAAAACTAAGGTTTTGTACCATTTGGTGAAAATCCTATTAAGTATATTTATGATTGCAAATCTGTCCGTAAAGCTGTAAATAGTAAGATTATTGTAGTGGTTGTTAAAATTTTTTTAATAAAAAAATTTATCTTTGAAAAAAATATTAAAAAATGGCAATACCACAATGACTCTCGCAATATACAGAGTGACATTCATTACCTTATACGTATACGTTCATTAAGTTTTCAAAAGCATAAAACAGTGTTTTTAAAAATACTAACTGGATAGGCCTCTCTTCCTGTATAGGTGGCTTTGATTCGCCCTCTTATTTTTAGGACTTCGAATATTGACCTACTGTGGTGGCTCTTAAGCTCTCTGATCTATAGGCAGATCGATATGGCTTTGTGTCGATTGTTAGAAAAAAACATTCCAAATAGTATTGATTGTGGGAAGAAGTCGAGTCGTATTCATCTTGCGATGAGCCTTAACAGACTTAGCCTCATCCTTTCAATCGGCTGGATCTAAGGACGCCCAAGATATCTTTTCCAGTTATCGCTTTGAAGCAAAAAAGGTCAGAAAGTAAGAAAAGATAAAGATACTTCCTTACTTTTTTTCAGGAATTTACTCATCGACTATGTGGAAAATGTTGAGAAATTATGATTATTGTAAGGTTAGTGAACTCCTTTCTAGTTTTAATGTTGACGTTATCAATGCCCACTTTGTTAATGTTAGTCACCCTGATAGGCATGATTATACCGGCTCTTATTTATCCGAGCTTTCTTATGGGGCCTTTTCGTTCAGGTACATTTCTGACGTTGAACTGCTGGCAGCATAGTGTAAAATTACTATGGTTTTCGTCGTGGGTATAATACTTTTAGTTTATTATCTACCTTCACTGATACCATTACGAGTAATGTTAATAAGAACTGTTGCGTATCCTTAGTATTCCTGGACTTAACTAAAGCCTTTAACCCTTTTAACCATTCTGTATTAATAAAAAAGTTTGGGGGATTATTTAGATTTTCTAGATCTGCTTGTAACTTTATTCCTTCATATTGATCTGATAGATATCATTTCGTTGTTCGCTGATATAAATAGAATTCATTCCGAAATTCTTCCCTTATTCTCTGGGGTGCCTCAAGGCACTGTCTTAAGCCGTCTTTTCATTTTGTGTGTCAATAATCTTGCCAAATATACTGAGACAAATGTTTGCAGGTCACTCCTATTCGCAGATGATGTGTTTCTTCTATTTAGCACTGAGTGTAGCAATTCTGATGTCCTTGAATCAAGCATTAATTATAGTCTTGGAATTCTTCCTGAATGGTTACTGGTGGATATCCTACGGTCAAATATGAACTGGTTGACGCTCTTCTAATGTCGCGAATCCAATATAGTTCAGAAGTAGTTTCTGGAACTATGGGTTATGTATTCTCGACACTAAATCGTATTGTTAACTCTATAATCCGCTACATCTACAACGTGCACAGACGGGCTCACATTTCTGAATATGTCTAGCGTTTGTTTAGATGCACCTTTAAGCAGTTTACCTTATGTCGTAACCTATTGCTCTTTTTCAAGGTTATTAAATATAGTCAACCTTTTTGATTAGTTTCCTTGTTTTCCTTTATTCGCTCTATCAAAAATCCGCAGATTATCATTCCCAGCATTAGATGTAGCTGCTTTGAACAATTCCTTGTGGTTCGAGTTGCACGATGCTGGAATTATCTGCCCCTTAACTTGGGTATATTTCCCCATTTTTATAATGTGTTTCGAGTGAAACTCCTAACGGGTAGGATATCTGTCCCCTTGCCATTATTTCTAAGTCCATAATCCCAGTGATCCTCGACCATCATTTTGCTAACTTTACAACTTCTTGGTATTGTTTAAAGCCATTTCATCCCCTATAATTCTATTCAGTTGATACTACTATCTTAAGGCATTTTCTAAAATGATTATCCTTTTAGTTTTCGTTCTTTAACTTTTTGCGAGACTGGGGAGTCAAATTGCAAATTGTAATTCGTATTTTGTAATTGCATTGTCTATTTTGAAGTCTCTTATCTAAGAATTTGTAATATGAAATAATTTGTAACAGTAAAACTATAACTTCATCTTTATTCATGAACCATATCCTTATACTTATATTTTACTTTTAGGTACTTTATGTGCAGGTACAAGACTGCATTATATATCCATTGGGTTTTGAAAGGCTGTGTGTACTGCGCTAATTGAATTTTAATAAATAAAAAAAAAAATAAAACAAAAACCTTAACCTCTTACAGGAAATTTGATTTAACACGAGTTAAAAAAAATACATTCTTTTAACGCGAATTGTGTTGTTATAAAACAGTATTTAATATTCTATGGACTTTCTTTATGAATTTTTGTAATGCATATTTTTCAAGAATTCATTTTTTTTTACGGTCATGTGGATTTTTTCGTTCCTATCCCTCGCAATTTCGCATTTCGATTTTTTTGGAAACGTACCTATCGTGTAAAAAGAGAATTAGGTGTATTTTTTAATTCTTCTCCGACATCAACATGAATATTTGTTATTACTATTTATATGAAATGAATTTCTAGGTGGCAACTTCTTAGATACTTTTCAGGATCTTTTATTGCAACCATGTTTCTTGTGTTTATGAATTAACTCATTAATGCATACATAGCCATATTTCTCGACGTATATCCATTAATAGCAATAGTAGCGAAACTCTCTCAATATTTATTTTCGGAAGTGAATTCATAAGCAAAACAGTTAAGAAACGACTAAAATAATTTAAAGCACAGTATTTAGAGGCACAAACAAATTATATTTTAATAAATAGTGGATATCAATATCTGCTCGTTTTGTATTTAAAAAAAAAAAAGAGTGACCAATGTCTAAGTATAATGGTCCAAGTTCAGGTAGTTTTTCACAAACACAAACCTATAAGCTGGTAGTTGTGGGAGGCGGTGGTGTTGGAAAATCTGCGATCACCATACAATTTATACAAGTAAGTTTTTGTTGGAATGATCATCAAACTGCACAAAAAGCATAAATCAGCATAAAGTTTACATTATGCGATGTAGTTGTAATTATTGTGTAGGGTGTTAACGTATACTGGAAGTTTAGCGGATGTCGATCTATGTCCATATATATATATATATATATATATATATGCAATTTATGCATATATAGATATATGCATACAGTGTATGAATGTATTATCTAGTTATATATGTCTAAGCACAATTGAATGAGCATTTGTTGCGCATTATAACAGAGTAAAAAAGAAAAGATGACATCAAACCCATTTTTGTACGATGTATATGTTTATATCTTGGAATTCTAAATAATTATATATGTATGACAATCATATACATGATAATGATGATGATGGTGATGATGAAGTTTACAGTTTTCAATAAAGTATTTTACACATATTACTTATTAAGCCCTCATATTTATGTATAAAGCAAATAATTTCACTTAATGGAAAATAATAAATTGAACATTATTTTAATCTATAATAAGATAAATGCCATTAAAGAGATATCTTGCCCCTAACAATTTGCGTTAATTATATCCAGATAAAAAACATTGGTCTATCCTTCGCCATTGTGGACCAATCATAGCTATGGAAATGTTTTAGTGATTAATCAACCTATTCTCATAATTTCGCAAACTACGATACTTTTCCACAAAAGACGATTGCTTGGTCACGTCAGTGCGCTATATCAAGGTTATATGTCATACATATAAAATGCTGTAAATATATTTGAAATAAGATGCTAATGATCACTGTATGTCCTTCTGTCCAGGGGTGAATTACGGGCGCAGGTATACTAATATTGTCGTTTTACTCGTAACAGTCTAAAAAACATTCACCCACATAATGCGTTGAAAATTTTCAAATGTTTTAAAGATACCTGCCCACTAGTGGTGCACCGCCGCAACGTAAATTTTCACATAAAGCAATTCCAAAAATTGAGTCAAAAAATCGATTTGACCGAATTAATTAAGTACACTAGGTTTAAAAGTGTCAAATCAAGTCCACAACTGATGAAAACGGAAAAAGTAGAGAGAGGAAGTTTGTATATATTTGTATTAAAAGTCTACGCATTTTGTTGACTTTTGTTTAGATATGTCTGCAAGAGAGAAGATATAGACACAAGTGAATAACTGTAAGCAAAATTGAATCGAATTGGGTCGCCAACTTTATATTCTATGAATGCGTAGTTGATAAATTTTTACCCCCTGGTACCAAATCAGCTTATAATCGAAATACAATGTTATTCTCATTCCTTAGAATCTGCCAAAAATTGAATACAGTTTCCAGGTTTAAATAGATAATGGTTGCCCATTCTCTTGGTTGAATTTTTTTTTTCAATTCATTTTTCAGCCATTAATTTATTTATAGTTTTTTACGTCATTTTCCTGCCATCTTTCAACGAAATAAAAGAAAATTTAGTTAAGATTTACACATACGTACATACAAGTGCATATTTCCGCGATTATTGCAAAATTTTAATTAGTTTAGTTTAATGATATTGCACGAAATGTACTGAGCCAAAGCGTATCAAACTTCTCCAATCATTTTTTTGAATCGCTTACCCATGCAGAGACCTGTTTCTGTCTATAGAAAATGTAATACATTTATGAGTTATGTTAAATAACATTATGTTCGGTTCGTTGATATAAAGATAATTTGTTATGTTATGGTATCAGTAACGCGTAAGAAAATCTTAATGATTTTGAAATTCCTTTTCTTTTTCTATTACATTTCGCTAATAATTTAGAGTTATTTTGTTACGGATTACGATCCAACGATTGAGGATTCCTACACCAAACAGTGTGTTATCGATGATATACCAGCTAAGTTAGATAGTAAGTATTTTTTATTTTTATAATTTTTTTCATTTTACATTAAAATTATTCCTTTGAATCCATTTTAGTACTCGATACTGCCGGTCAAGAAGAATTCAGTGCCATGCGCGAGCAGTATATGCGCTCGGGTGAAGGTTTTTTATTGGTCTTCTCTCTGAACGATCATTCCAGTTTTGATGAAATACCGAAATTTCAAAAGCAAATATTACGCGTTAAAGATCGTGACGAGTTTCCCATGTTAATGGTCGGAAATAAATGTGATTTGGAACGCCAACGTCAGGTGTCATTAGAGGAAGCGCAAAGTGCAAGTCGAAATATGATGATACCATACATTGAATGCAGCGCCAAGCTGCGCATAAATGTTGATCAAGCTTTCCACGAACTGGTACGAATTGTACGTAAATTTCAAATAGCTGAACGGCCTCTCATAGAAGAAAGCTACAAAAAGAAAAGCAAAAAAAAGTGCTGCGTACTGTAAGCTTAAAAAAAAATTGTACTTTTTTCAAGTCCTTTAACATCTAGTGGTTAAACCGAACGAAATTTAACACCAATATATATTTATATATATATATATATATATATACATATTAAACTTGTAACATACAACACGAACCGTAAAGTTTATAAATTCTTTAGTTATATAATATGAGTGAGTAATGAAGTAGGTATAATGGAGTCAAAAATGACATAAAAAAAAAAAAAAATTAGAGTAAATGTCGCCTAATAAAATTAAGCAGTAGAAAAGCATGGAAACTACTACTGATAAGCCGGGTCCACTTTCCCCTGGAAAAGATAAACAACAACAAAATTTATTTGCAACGAGATAAGACGAATTTGAAATTTAAAGCAAAACTATGCATGCACCTCGCCTCTTCTTCGCCAATGTTACTATGTGAATAGCGTTAATTCTCGATGAAACCATTCCCAAACAAACCCACGCAGGCGCCCAAAATTAACAAAACAGTGTCTGGAGTGATTGATACACTCGGACGCGCCACATTACATATAATATACAATTTTGTTATTCACTTTCTTCTGTTTGGTTCTCGCAAAGAATTTGTGCAAAAAATATATGTATGTATGTATATTACTTGAATAGAGAAAAGCAATAAAAATCACATTTCCTTGGTTGTTATTTTTGGTAAGTTTACAGATTTTATTGTTATTTTTTTCTTCTTTTTCTTCTAATAATTTATATTAACATTAAAGTTTTTATTAGCAAACACATTAAAATCGCGAAAAAAAACTCATTTCCCTTAACGTTACGGATGTACTTAAAATTGCTATAATATGATTAATATTCTCCATTATTGTCTTGGATCGTATTTGCACTGGATTTTTTCTTTACATAGAGAGATACATACGCACGAATGTATGCTTTTTTTTTAAATTGTGTTACTTGCACAAATCGATATTTAATTATGTTATTTGTAAGATTAATAATTATTTATAAAATTATTCAATACTAAGTGTATAAGTGCAAAGCAGTTTGTTGTTGTGTTTGATGCAAATTCACGTAATCCTTGTACATGTAATATTGGATATGATATTTCAGATCCACCCCCCTGTTAATTTATGAAACATTTCCTCGTTTAAAGTTTGATTATTTTCTTTTGAACGCATAGACATAAATATGTAACCGCCTATAAATTCATGGACAACTTTGCAATCGGCCGAGAGGCATGAGAAAACAACATTCTCATCGTGAAATTGTATCATCATACACTTAATGCCCCAATTGACATTCCAAGCTTTCATGGTATTGTACCGCCACGTTTTAATATGATCACCAGTATTCAAATCCATACGCATTATGCGATTATGTGCCACACCAAGTAATTCTTCCTTTTTATGACCGTCGAATTTGATGACAAACAGAGAGACACCAAAGTTAGGTAAAGATTGCCACGCTTGAATGTATTTCGTTTTTGCATCAATTAGGGAAAGTTTACGAACATTGGCATGAGCTTCCAGAATGCGATGAGCCGATTTGTTTGAGAGTTTTCGTAACATTTTCGATGATAAATATTCATTTGCGTCTACGGAGCGTGGATCGACATTCACTGATGCGCCCTGTGTAGGCTTTTGCAAGCTTAATAAAGTTCTTATATTAGATACTTCGCTGTCATAAGAACTGTCAGCGAGGGAGCGGCCTTTTGAAGCCAAACGGCAAGCAGCCATCCATTTAGCATACTGCTCTTCAGTTTCACATCGAATCCACACTTCAGTATTTGGACCAATACTACCTTCTGGCGGAACTTCTAATCTTATGGCAAATTTGTTTTGGGATAAAATCACGTCTGGCGTTACCTCACAGCCACGAAGATTAATTGTAATTGCGGGAGCTCCGCGTCGCGACTCTTCAGCACTTTTATACAAATGTAAATGTAAATCACGGTAAGTAAAGAAATACCGCTTGTAACCTTTCATGGTGAATTTTTTTGGTTTCAAAAAACGTAAATAATCGGACAATTCCGGAATTTTGGTAATGTTACCCTCTTTATTAATATTCGGACCCTCAAGAGTTATTTGCAGTTCATTCAGAGCCGAGTCAATGTCATCGTCGGTACCATTAGAGGAATCGATGGGGAAATCCAGACCCGGATAAGTATCATTTTGTTGATTTATTTGAAATTGTAAAGCCGCGAACATTAGGCTTTCCTCTTCCGTGCAGTCAAATTCTTCATTCAATATCGACCACTTTGCCTGCTCATACAATTGATTAATGCGAACTTGATCGTATTTTGGATTAAGGTCAAAGAAAGTATAATACTTAAATTTCAAGCATAAAGTATCGTACTCGCGTATACCTTGCTCCATAATGGATAGCGATGAATCAAGCCAGCCTATATTCATACGAGCCTTTTCAATCAAAGTTTTTGGACGTATCAAACGATTTCGAACGTCCGGACTAGGTATACGAGGTGAAGCAGCTAAATTTTCCTGAAAGTCTCCAAGACTTGAGGAGGAGTCATATGTTGTATAACCGCTGCTGCTATGTTTCCAGGTACCAGTAGGTGAACTGATCGGAGTGCCGGGTGCAGTACCGGCTTTTCTTGGCGTGGTAGCGTATGGGGATACTGGCGCACAAAGAAAATTGCCATTATGACTTCTATCTAAGCTACCGTTGCTACCATGATACGTTGAGTTTATAGGTATGAAAGAGTTTGTATCAGCAGCTGGTTGCAAATACACAGTACCATCCGGCTCTATTATAGGTATCTTTTTTGGAGGAAATTTAGCAAAGTTTTTCTTCAGATGTTCAGATTCCAAGGGCTTACACAGTGACAGTTCTTCGGGGTGTCGTATATCCAAATCTTTGCATAAATGAACAACAGCAGCAAATGTTTTTATTGAGAAATCTACTCGACAATCAATGTGACGTAAATCCGGCATTTGAACGCGCAATATTTTGTGCATTGGTGTAAAGTGCAATAAACTGTTTGCTTGAACGCCCACTTGATCCAAAGTGGAACGGGTACGAGATAGCCATATATTTTTTTCGGGCCACCATAAAGCGTGATCTGACCAATCTTTTGGATTTTCAGGATCTACTAATTGCAGCATAATTCCACCAATATGTTGATCACCGCGCACCCTCAGATGCCTTTCCACTTGCAAATCTGTTATATAGATCCGCAAATTCCAAGTATTCTCACCCACATGAATCATTTTAAAGCGACCGGTTGACAGCGCGCCGAAACAATAACGTAATCTGATGTTCTGTCGGGCAAAAGCTTAATAAAAAATAATTGCAACAATAATATCATACAGATGCGTTTTTACAAATATAAATTTAATTGATGACGTAAGTTTTTTTACTTACAAAACTACAAGTTGTGCCGAATTGCTTCACTTATTCAGAATGTCTTCGCAGCACAATGCAGGCTATCATTTCCGAGACTCAAAAATATGTCTGTATGTGCGCGTATTTGCTCAATAAAAATACATTTACTTTCTAGGAGATGATATGAAGATCTGGGTATTTTAAATCCAGTGGAAATGTCGATGTACCGATGTGTGTTGGTTCGTTTCTTTCAATAATATAAAATTTTATATATATATAAGTTGTGCGCAAATGTGATCAAGGTCTGTCTGTACATACTGCAAGCTATTCACTGCAGGCGTTAACACATTGAACACATTGAATCAACTCCTCAAGCCAAATTCTGACAAGCGATAACGTATGTATGACTTTAGATTAGCTTGAGAGACACTAAGTATGCGATGGTAGATGTTGACTAAATGAATAAATAAATACAAGTGTCATATAACGAGTAATTAATCTACACTTCGATGTGGTTTAAATTACGCCCTTGCAAGCTGCGCGGGGTCGTTTTTAACACCCGACGTTTAACGAAACGGGATCAGTAGTAAACAGTAAAACATTCAATTTTAATTTAAATTAATTAAAGTTACTCCGATGACGCAGTCAAGGAAAATGTTTGCTTCGCGTTTCTCCCTCACTTTTATTGTTTCCACCGATACATTCATACTTAATACATTATGGTTTCATAAAATGCTATTTATAGAAGAGAAGAGAAACCTGCACAAAACATACAACGATTGATTCATTTCACACTATAAATGATGATGATATTTACTGCAGCAGTTTCGTATACCTTTTTAAAAACGCCTTAAATTATCCATCCGCTTCGTTTTTTTTTCAATGTTCTCATTTTTTTTCCTACAACATATTTTACAAAATATTCATCTTGATTACATAAAAATTTTATTTTGTTTTAAAAAATTGTGCGTTTTTTGTGAAATGCAAACAATATTTTTTAAACCTATTTAGCTTTTAATTTGACTGATCAGGCAGAATTATTGAAACAGAACTAAATTGTTGCGGAAATGTTGCTAACGAAATGTTTTACACAATGTTTTTGAAATAATGAAATGGAGCAAATTCGAAAATTGCAAGTCTGGAAAAAAATTGTTGTATTTACTGATAAAAAACAAAGTCGAAATGGTACATATTGTACGGTAAATTTAGAAGCGAAGAGATATGAACGTTCAAATCTCTTCGCTTCGTCGATAGATAGAAATTTAAAATTCAAATCTATCTCTGAGAGGATTTACTTGGCATTATTATTGTAAAATCTGAGAGGAAATTTATTGGGAAATTTTGTTTCAGCTGTGTGTGAAAAAGGGAGAAAGAAATAGAGAGCGAGAAAGAGAGAATCACCACTCTTTAACAATGTAAATTTAAACATTTTGAGTATTATTTTTGAGTAATTTTTTTAATATGATATAATAAAAAACTAAAGAAAAAAATAATAATAATAATAAAGCAAAAAAACTTCTATATAAACAGAATTTATTCATCGTTCAACATTCCATTTGCGTTGATTTTTCATGTTGTGTTTTTTCATAAACATTTGAAGGTAAAGTAAATTTTACTCTGAGAAATAGAATTTTATTCTCAATGTAATCAAAAAGCCTCTCCGGGGTTTTCATAAGAAATGTACAACAAAGTACATTTTACTCTGAGAATAGAATGATCATCAACTGCCAGACAGCAATTGTGCAAGAGAACAAGCACCCTTTTAAGTTGCGCAAACAGGATAGACAACACAGTTTTCTACGTTTTCTACAAATTTGTCTAAACAATGCAGCATTTTCGCTAAAAACTTTTGAAAAGATGTGTCATTGATGCAAAAATATTTCTTATCTCATTCCCAAAGCAATTGCTAAAAAAAGTCAAAAATTATGTTAAACCAAAATTTAAGATAGTTACAACCTTAAATGTCGAAAATATGTAAAATGAAGTAGTTGGGCAACATTGGCTTATATCCCTTACTATCAAAATATAAGATGAACTTACAAAATTAGATCGTATGTCAATTGATCCTTTGTGGCAAAGAGACAATTTGGTAGCAATCGAAATATTATTATTATAATATTAATTTGTAGATGAGCAGATGATCTTGTTATTATTAATATTGTTCGCTATTATTGTTCTTCTGTTTCTAAAATAATTTATTTAATGCTAGGCAATCACTGAGTTGGTAACGCGGTTATGGAATTTTACATATTTTTCTTTCCTTGATTTTTTTTCCAGAAAAAATCTTACTATTGGCAACACTTATTGAGAAATTAAAAAAAAATTAATATTGCAACAAAAATGAACTCTAGTCCTCGCTTTCATTGCAAATTGCAAACATTTTACAAAAGTGGGTAAAAACTTTTCCGCGTGACGTTGCAACTAAAGTTGAGAATTTTCAACAACAAAAAATGAGAACATTTACTATTCTACCAAAATATTAGTACAAGTGTGCAATAATTACGCGAATGCGATTGAAACATTACGTGCATTACGTCATCAAGTCAAGTGTTTAGAAAAGACATTTATATGTGTGTGCGTATGTGCCTGTGCTATATTGTCGGAGCTTTTTCATCATAAAAAGCAAAACAAACAAAGGAAGTGGTTCAGACAAACAATTGAAGGACAAACTGAATTGAGGGCATACAGATCTGTGTTTCGTTGCAATAACTTTTCATTTCCATTTTCGTTCTATAACGTTGATAAATTTTCGAAAATATGATTCATGTGGGCGAAAATACGTGGAATTTACGAATTTTTATAACAGATCTCCAGATTGAGAAGCAACTTCGCGTCAGAGGCGATCAGCATATAGGTGGATTAATGTTACAGCTGGTAGATCCAGAAAATCCGAAAGATTGGTCTGATCATGCCTTATGGTGGCCAGACAAAAATATGTGGTTGACGCGTACTCGTTCTACTTTGGATCAGGTGGGCGTGCAAGCAGATTGTCTGCTACACTTTACACCTATGCATAAAATACTTAGAGTACAGCTGCCCGATTTGCGTTATTTAGATTGCAGAGTCGATTTTTCAATTAACACCTTTGCGGCGATTGTTAATTTGTCCAAAGATTTAGATATTAGACATCCAGAAGAGCTGTCATTTTGCAAGCCATTAGAACACGAGCATTTAAAGAAAAATTTCGGCAAATTTCCTCAGCGAAAGGTACCCATAGTCGAACCAAATGGCATGGTTTATTTGCAGCCTGCTCCGGATACGAATTCTTTTATACCCATTAATTCAGCTTACAAAGGCAGCAATAGCAGTTTGGACAGAACGCAAAATGGGAATTTGTTATGCGCACCAGTAGCACCATACGCTACAACTCCTAGAAGAGCTGGAACGGCTCCGGGTACTCCTATAGGTTCACCTACAGGCACATGGAAGACTAGCACTAATGGCTACGCCACGTTTGATTCCTCTTCTAGTTTAGGTGACTTTCAGGAAAATTTGGCTGCTTCACCTCGAGCTCCCAGTCCGGACGTAAGAGCTCGTCTGGTCAGGCCAAAAACGTTAATTGAAAAAGCCCGCATGAATGTGGGATGGCTAGATTCTTCTCTATCCATTATGGAGCAAGGTATACGAGAATATGATACCCTATGCTTGAAGTTCAAATATTACACTTTCTTTGACCTTAATCCAAAATACGATCAAGTTCGCATTAATCAATTGTATGAGCAGGCAAAGTGGTCGATATTGAATGAAGAACTTGACTGCACGGAAGAGGAAAGCCTAATGTTCGCGGCTTTACAATTTCAAATAAATCAATTAAATGAATGCTATCCCGGTTTTAAAACAGACTTTGATTCTTCGGGGTTGGACAATGGTATCGATGACGATATTGATTCAGCTTTGAATGAATTGCAAATCACATTGGAGGGCCCTTATCCAAGTGCAGACAGCAATATTACGAAAATTCCTGAATTGGCAGATTATTTACGTTTTTTAAAGCCACGAAAATTCACTATGAAAGGATATAAACGTTATTTCTTCGCCTATCGGGATCTTCATTTGCATTTGTATAAGACGGCAGAAGACTCCCGTCGTGGTGCTCCGGTTATTACGATAAATTTACGTGGTTGCGAAGTAACACCTGACGTAAATTTATCTCAAGGTAAATATGCTATACGCTTGGAAGTCCCACCTGAGGGACGAAATGGCCCTAACACCGAGGTATGGATTAGATGCGAAACCGAAGATCAATACGCGAAATGGATGGCTGCCTGTCGTTTGGCTTCCAAAGGTCGTTCTCTAGCCGATAGCTCTTATGAAAGCGAGGTATCCAATATACGTACACTCTTGACTTTACAAAAACCCGCCCACGGTGCCGCAATCAATATTGATCCACGCTCAGTCGATGCTAACGATTACTTATCACCCAAAATGTTGCGTAAATTGTCAGGAAAAGCAGCCCAACGCATCTTGGAAGCTTATGCTAATGTCAATAAGTTATCATTGACAGATGCGAAAATGAAATATATTCAAGCTTGGCAATCGCTACCTGATTTTGGTGTCTCTCTGTTTGTCATCAAATTCGACGGTCATAAAAAGGAAGAATTACTTGGTGTGGCACATAATCGCATAATGCGTATGGATTTGAATACTGGTGATCATATTAAAACGTGGCGGTACAATACCATGAAAGCTTGGAATGTCAATTGGGGCATTAAGTGTATGATGATACAATTTCACGATGAGAATGTTGTTTTCTCATGCCTCTCGGCCGATTGCAAAGTTGTCCATGAATTTATAGGCGGTTACATATTTATGTCTATGCGTTCAAAAGAAAATAATCAAACTTTAAACGAGGAAATGTTTCATAAATTAACAGGGGGTTGGATTTAAAAATTATTTTTCGAAATTATTCTAAAAGTGTTCTAAGTCGACTTTTTATCAATCAATCAATTATTTATTATTAATTAATATTAATCAGTAATAACGCTACTTCCAATTTAATATTCTCTCCTTTTTATACATATTACCTCCATTACATACTAATATTATTGAGAAAAACAGAAAAGAAATATTAAAACAAACGCACAATTTTTACATCACATACTACATCGAGTGTCGAGTGACTTCTTCAACATATATAATTCAATATAAAATTTATATATATATATATATATATATATATATATATATATAGCATAAATACGTACATGAAAAGATAAATTATAATGAAACGCAACAACGCTTCACAAAATAAATATTTTAATGGAGAAAAAACAAACACAAAAAAAAAAAGAAAAAACCATTAATTGCCAAAGTGCCTCTATTCTCACTTCTGGAAACGGGCCTTTAAAGTAAAATTTTTTGCTTTTTCTCTCTCTGTAATATTTCAATATAAATTAACAAAAAAAAAATAATGATAATAAGAAGAAGAAGCTTTTGAGAAACTCTGCTACAATATTGTAGCACTTTTTGTATTTGTACCTAATTTGTAAATTTTTTGATTGTTTTAATTTTTCGCAATCAATCTTTTGTTCTTGTAATAGTCTCCGTTTGTTTGTTTTTTACTTTACTGAACATTTATGTACATTTTTTTTTTCCATCTAATTTGTTATATATTGTATTTAATAAACCGTAAGGGAAATTGTGTATTTCAATATTAAAAAAATATATATACATATTTACAATAACCACAAATTATTTAAATATGTTTTCATATATGCCAGTAAAAGATGAATATGGGACAAGCCATAAACGTAAGAATTCGTTATACTTTTTACACAGTTTCTTCTTTGCCGTACGCTTTTCAAATTCAACGCAAGGACTCAGTTACAAGGTTCAGCTATGTTCACATTACTTCCGCTCACTCACGCACTTCTCAGGAGAAAAAGGCTAATCTTAAGATGCGGCAACATTTGAAATAAAAAATTCCTTATGTATAATGTATTTCTATGCGTGAGTCGATAAGTTTGTGAATTAACGAATTAATGAACTCGTGAATGCCTGTGCAAATAAACGATGGGAAAAAGCAAGAAAGGAAGGAATGCATGATTAAATGAATAGAAGAATGAATAGATCGAGTGAATTAAATGGATAATTGAATGAATGAATGGATAAACTATTGAACGTATTACTGCCTGTATACATGAAGGACGAGTAGAAGGAAAGGAAAAATTAATAAATAAATGAATGTGTGAATAAATGCATGCATGAAAGCATGAATGAATGATTGCGTAAGTGATCGAATGAATATATACATATGTATTCGTTCATTTACCTATTTATTCATTCACGCAATCATTCATCCATATATCTATATATACATAATATATATATGGAAATTATAAAGAAAATATACCATGTATAAGGAAATTTTTATTGCAAATGTCTCGAAAAAAAATTAAAATTAAATACTCAGGCATTCTTAAGATTAGATTTTTTCTCCTGACAACTTGGTTAAACTCTCAACTTGGCTACAACATCGCATTTCAGCAAGACTATGCCCGAATGGCAATGCACCGTTCACATCTTTGCCTTTTCCAATGAATGCTGCCATCTCGTAACAGTCTAAGTCTCAGTCCTACTAACATAAACACAACTGGAAAAAAACAAATACTTTCACTATAAAATATATTAGGCTCAATACTTGATAGAAGATAGCTTGTTTTTTTTTTTTCTTGAAACAAAAATTTTAATCCGATCTGCTTTATGTTTGAAAATAAATCTCTTTCGATATTACAAAAAAACGAAAAGTGAATTAATTATGTATAAGCAAAAAAAAAAAAAAAAAATTATTAGATAAAGTTGTAACCGGATTTTTCATTTTCTTGAATGAAATGTTGGCTTTTGTTAAGCTAATGCCGTTTCGGGGTCTTGACTCGAGCCCAGATACGTCGTTGTAGCACTATCCCATTAGAACGGGGAAAAACTGAAAAGTATATCGTAAACCATAAAATCGTAATATTTCCTGTTCTATGTATTTTTGTCTTTTTATTTTAAAGAGATAATCTATTATTATTGGGTTGTGATGTGTTAATTACGCTAAAATATTGGGAAACGATTGTAGGTAATATTGAATTATACACTTTTGGAGACAAATTCGTAAAATTCTCGACCAGCCGGGAAAAAGAAAAAAAACGAACCGATGGTGTAACTTTTGTTAAATTGAAAAATAGTTCAAATTATTTCAAAAACTTTCGCACACGATAGTTGCTATTACATACATTTATATTCTTATAAGCAGTCATATAAAGGCTATTTAATTGTCGTATCGATTATCTCATTTACTACATACATTTATATATGCAATCGTTCATAGTGTGTTTGCGTGAAGCACGACACACTCGCATTCAATAGATATTATTTATAGTAGCAAAGAAAAAAAAAAGAAAAAAAATTTTTTTTTTTGTTTGCAATTTTCAATTATTTTCTACAAATAGAAATACACACGTTTTTCACAATGGCATCATACATACAACATATATACAAATCACGTGTTGAATGTAAACATTAATTAAAAAACACAATAATAATTCATATAAATATTTGTTGTAGTTGCTGGTTGCGTTCAAATGCATTTAATTAATATAAGTATGCTTTTTTCAATTTCAATTTCAATTCATTAATAAATTCCAAGCATCCTCTTCAGCTGACGGCTTATTCGTAGAAGGCTTAGTATTTTTTACATCGAGACTTTCGAAGCCTTCGCTTAGCTTTTGCGTCGTATTATGCAAACGCATAGTTCGATTTATTGCTAATGGTGCTGCTGTTGTTGTGGAATTCTGATACGATGTCATGGAATTTTGATAGTCCGCATTAGTATGTGTGGTAATATCAAATCCAGACCAATCGTCATCTTTAATATCGTCATTTAACGCAGTGGTGTCACTGCTCAACTGATTCTGATACGATTTCGATGAAGTTAATTGAGTTTTCTGATTATTATCCTGCCAATGCCAATCATTGTCGTTACTATTGGTTAAATTGCCACCCACTGAATGCGAACGTTGATAAGTTGTATTGTCTACGTTGAAGCCATAATTACCAGCGGTATTGTTATTATTAGGCGATGTATAATTATAACCGGCCAAATTATTCCATCCCCGCTTACCAATATCGGAAACCTGGGAAGACAAGAGGAACGAAAATGATGTATATATACATATATATATGTATATATATATATATATATATATACAGAAAGACTCAAGAGTCATACAATTTGACATTCCCCCCCACTAAGACGATGAATGTATAGAAATTTCATACAAACCTTAAAAGCTACATCAGCGACTTGCTGTTGAACCGATTCTAATAAACCCCCTTCTTTAATCTAGATAGCAAAAATTAAATAAAAAACGCCAAAAATATAAATAAATAAATAAATGGTTAAAAACTAAAATAAGGACAAAAACAAACAAACAAACAACCAAATATATATTGTTACTTAAGATTTAAAAAGCGAAAGAGAAAAATCTTCTACGAAAACCATACACAAATATTTACATAACATATATGAAACACACAATGGAACACAGTTCAGGAAAAAAGAAACTATATATTTAGCCAAGACTGTTACTCCATCACTTGTATGTTTTTCTTGTTGTTGTTGTTTTTTTTACCGAATATGTTTTGTAAACTAATAGCGAAAAAGAACATTCTTGACCTTAAAGCCAACTATGATGTAAATCCTTCATTTATATAATCACAAAGCCTCAAGCAACGAATTTCGAATCGATCTGATCATGTCCGTCTGTCCAATGTCTATGGTAAACATTTTTTTGGCGGCAGGCATTGTTGGTATTGAACAGACACAATTTGGTATTGAAAGCGGAGCAAATCGGTGAAAGGGCACGCCTATATTACCAGCTTTTTCGTTCAATTTATGTATACATAGATACATACATGCACAAATTTTAAAAAAATAGAAAACATCACCCACACTCATCCAATATTATTTCGCTTACACAGAGTATGAAAATGTAATAATTTTTCTTTTAATCTTTATTAGGATAGAGGTGACGGGTATATAAAGGATTCGATTATAATCGAATACAATTTTCTTACTTATTTCAAATTGTCGACATATATCAGTTGTCAACGAAGGATAGATTCGTCGAATGTACGGCGTTTTTGGCGCAACTCTTGAGACCGGGCAACAAACATAGTCAAATTGTGACACATCCTAAAGTTAATTCAATAGGTGTTTTTGAGTATTTGTTGTCTCGTTCTAGGCGTTACAAACAAAACAATATATTGAGTGTACGCCGCTTTCCGGTGGCGCGTACAAAGCAATGATAGCGAAAGTGTTCTAACGCACAACCGTACATGGGAATACGTAATAGCTCGTACGTAAATATATCCTAATGACGTAACACACTCAAATCATACACAACACCTAACGCACTCAAACAGTACCCAAGGCAACATACATTATATACGAAGAGCTTGCGTAATAGAAGGATTATTTGATAGCTAATATGTGAGTTCATGTGACTGTTGCGAAATATAGGAAAATTTATAAGGAAGTTTCTTCGTCTAGATAAGCCCTTGCGTAAGCTACTTGTTCCCGAGAAATAGACAAATGATTGAGAAATTATAACTTCGATTCATATTTTTGTGCTTTTTCAAAATTTGCATCCCTATGACGTGAGAAACATTTTTTTTTTTTTTTCATAAATATGCAAGCACCTACTCCACACAAAGGATGCTTATTGTAATCAAAATTGATGATACCTTTGAAGAAGCTAAATTAACGGTAGTAACGGCTCTCTCTTTGGCTGTGACAGCAATTTTGGAGGCGCCAGCCGAAAATAAACTCCAACCCTGCAAAATAGTACGGTTGTAAAATGTTTTCTTTTTTTATAAATATTGCATATCATCTCCATAATCACCGATGCTAATGATGATAAAGTAGAATCGATTAGCTCTTGAGACTGAGTTTTTGGTGGTGGCTCGCGTGTATACCCAAAACCAGAATATTTCCCGCCCTGATTAGGGGGCAGGTTACTAAAAAAGTTCACTAAGAGTTAAAATATTTCAGAATGATAGTACCACACATCTTACTCAGGTCTTGAGGCATTTTCTAGTTGGCGTTTAGCGAAAAACTCCTCTTTCTGATCCTTAAATTCTTGGCTATTATATTGCTGATAGTTAAGATCAGCATTGTTCACGTTGCCACCGTTTTGATAGCTACTCATATTTGACGATTGTTGATAGTTGCCGCTATTCCTTGAATGTGACATAGCATTGTTTGTTGTATTAGTCATTGCGCCAGTCATGCTTGAATATTGACCTCCCCCTGTTGAAGTTAAACGTGTCGACGCTTCATTTATATCCCAGGACTTTCCCTGTGCTAATGTTGCTATCTTGTCGCGATACAAAGCGGCTGCTTTCGTATTATATTTTTGATTAATCGGCAATCTGTCATTCCAGTCTTCTCGTTGCTCAAGAAATTCTCGAGCATTGCGGTTACCACCTACTTTCATTTTTTCCAATTCAATATCTTTCCAATTGTCCATAGTAACTGAACGTACAAATGATAAATGCACGCCCAGGCCGCGATGTTTCCCTGAGCATTCCAAACATATCCATATCCCATAGGTCACCGAAACCCACTGCGGATTATGAGTGCCACATTCGAAACATTTCTGCAATCATTAAATTGTTTTAAAACGCAATTTTTAATATATTTATGTGGACTTACTGAATTATCATCTTGCGGTTTAAGTTCTTGCAGTATACGTCTTGTCCTTGGACTAGCCATATTCTATATAAAAATTACTTTTCAAAATTCCAAACGCTTGTACTGCGTTGAAATAAAGTCAGGTCTCCTACGCGTAAGATGATATCCAATACGTGAGATTGTGATTATTTTTGCAGGATTTGACAAAGCAATTGTCACCGTTATAACAAAAGCAATGGAAAAAGTATATTTCATTGACATTAGAAATCAAACTACAAAATTTTTATATATTGTCTTTGCCACTGTTTTTCACAAAAAAAAAAAATTACCAGAACAAATTTTTCTTATTTGTTCTGTAAACGAGACCTTTTTTCTACTATTTCGTTTAGAAAAATAAACGTCAGCAGTTTCATCAGGCAAGTCAGGGCTGTTTGATTTTTGAAACTATTTACACGAGTGATAAATCACATTGTGATGTTTTCGTGACGACAGCTGGCAAGTGCTCAAGATAAATGTTTTTTCGATAATTAAGAGCAAAGTTAAAAACAAGGAAAGTTCATTTTCACCAGACAGTACTTAATATGATAAATAATTGTTACCATCTATATAGTTATTATATAATGTCAATTATTAAACATATTGACAACAAAACAAAATTTTTTGCTTTAAACGTTAATTTGACAAAAAGGATATAGATCTACCTGCTACAATTCATTACCATAAGTAATGATTTAAGGTAGTCTTACATAACTTTTATTAAATTCTTAGCTTTCGCGTTTTAAAAGATATATATATGCGTTTTTTATATAATACAATATTTACAACACTGTTCATGCTAATTCGGTTTAGAGACGCTAAAAAAGGATTGAGGAAAGTTGTTAATATGTGTGTGAAAAATATAAGATAGGCAAAGTGTTTATATGAAAATATTGAACGTTAAAGGAAAGAAACTAACGGTTTCCATCACTTTAGAAGTTATTTTATAATAATTATCAACTTGAAAAATAAAAGCAAAGAAGGATGATGGCTAGGCGCGGTGGCAAACGTATACGAATGGATGATCCGCCACCGGAATATGAAGAGCAGGGGTAAACAGAGTAAATAAATAAATGAATTGCGATAGTAATCAAGTTTTCCTTTTTAACAGCGACCCACCAAATGAAAGTGTTTCCGACGGTGATAGTCCAAATAAACGTATGACTCGTCTTAGAGCTCGGGGTGGCGTAAGAGATAAGCCCCCAATTATTGATGACGACGAAGATGATTTTTTTGCCCCGGTTGTACGGAAAAGGAAACATCCTGCTCCGAAAAAACCACCAGCGGAACGTCGTGAAAGAGTTGAGCGTCCGCGCAAAGAACACGTAGAAAAAGAACAAGAACGCATTGACATTGAACGAGATGTCACAACTGATGAAAGTAGCTTGTATTTCATTGTGAGACATTCAAAATTGCATATAGCAACTATTGTTGAAGACTGGATCGAACAATACAAACAAAATCGTGACTCAGCCTTGATAGCATTGATGCAATTCTTCATTAATGCGAGTGGGTGCAAAGGCAAAATATCTGAGGATATGCAACATCCAATGGAACATACAGCTGTAATACGTAAAATGACTGAGGAATTCGATGAGGTAAACGGCAATTCTAATTTTCTGTAATATTTTCGATGCATTTTTATTTTTACAATTTAGGAAAGTGGTGAATACCCTTTAATCATGCCAGGTCAACAATGGAAAAAATTTAAAATGAATTTTTGTGAATTCGTACATACCCTCGTTAAGCATTGTCAATATTCCATTATATATGATCAATTCCTTATGGACAATGTAATATCGTTATTGACCGGACTTTCTGACTCTCAAGTGCGGGCTTTTCGACATACTGCTACTCTTGCGGGTGAGAATTATGATATATTTAAGGGATTTCGATTTCGTCTATTTGAAATCATTTTAGCCATGAAACTGATGACAGCCTTAGTTGATGTGGCCCTTTTGGTCTCAAATAATTTTGAAAATGCCGCCAAACAATACGAAGCTGAACGTGTTAAGGTAATTGAAGTAAGGAAAAAAAAAAGAATTTTTGATTACTATCAAGTCTTTATTGTAGTCACGTGATCGTCGAGCTTCAGACCGTTTAGAGTCTTTAATGGCAAAACGGGCTGAACTCGAAGAAAATATGGACGAAATTAAGAATATGTTAACTTATATGTTCAAATCAGTATTTGTTCACCGATACCGGTAAGATCAATTTAATATTTTTAATAAATGTGACATATATATATTTTTTTAAACTTTCAGTGATAATCTTCCCGACATACGAGCAATATGCATGGCTGAGATAGGCGTGTGGATGGAGAATTATCCGCAAAACTTTCTCGATGATTCTTATCTAAAATACATCGGTTGGACGTTGCACGATAAAGTTGGTGAGGTACGTTTGCGGTGCTTGCAAGCCTTGCTACCTCTATACGATAAAGAAGAACTAAAAGGAAAATTAGAGTTATTTACCTCCAAATTTAAAGATCGTATTGTTGCAATGACTTTGGATAAAGAATTCGAGGTGGCTGTCCATGCTGTAAAATTAGTTATCAGCATTCTTAAGTAAGTTTGCATGTTATTGAAACTATCATAATTCAATTTGATTTAAAATTTCAGAATTCATCCAGATATTTTGGCTGATAAGGACTGTGAAATTGTTTATGAATTAGTGTATTCATCTCATCGCGGTGTTGCGCAAGCAGCTGCCGAATTTCTAAACGTACGATTATTTCATTTAACAGCAGACATGGAAGAAACGAAAACCAAACGGGGCAAACTACGCTTACCTAATACCCCTCTAATAAGAGATTTGGTACAGTTCTTTATCGAATCGGAATTACATGAACATGGCGCCTATTTAGTAGATTCATTTATAGACAATAATCCAATGGTTAAGGATTGGGAATGTATGACAGATTTATTATTGGAGGAGCCGGGCCCCAATGAAGAAGTTTTGGATAACAAGCAGGAGTCGACGTTAATTGAAATTATGGTTAGTAGCGTTAAACAATCTGCGACTGGTGAGGCACCGGTGGGTAGAGCAAGTAACCGGAAAATTTCCTTAAGCGCGAAGGAACTGAAAGCCATTCAGGATGAAAAGATACGTTTAACAGAACATTTCGTAATCACTTTGCCACCGCTTTTGGAAAAGTATCAAGCTGATAGTGAGAAATTAACCAATTTGTTGGCTGTGCCGCAATACTTTGAACTGGATATATATACCACTAACAGGCAAGAAGCTAATTTGCAGGCTCTATTAGATAAAATAAGCTATATAATGACAGTACATACGGATCGCGATGTTTTGGAGACTTGTGCTAAAACTTTGGAATATTTGTGTACTGAAGGCAGTGCCACCTATACGCGTTGCGATGTAGCGCGTTCCAACATAATAGACAATGCTGTCAATAAGTATAAAGATGCAATTGATGATTGGCGTAATCTAATAGCTGGTAAGTTCAAGAGAATTTTTTATATCCATTTTATTATCTTTTATAGTTAAAAATGAGCTTAATAGACACCACAAATTATATACACTACTGATCAGCTTGGTAGTTTGGGTCAATAGCAAAAATGATTAAGTGTTTAATGTATTAGTTTCGGAACGACAAAAACCTCCCATAATGCTTCCAAATTTTACTGTCAGTACGTTTGACTAACAGCACTATTTGGCACTATTAAAATATAAAAATAGTTTACGAAGTCCAAAAGGGGCTTTTCAATTTGAAATGTTTGTATATGATGGGCATTAAATGTTCGACCCAAATCGACTAGATCGCGATGATATTTTCTACATAAATATTTCATTAATTTTTATCTTACACACAGGTGAAGAATTACCGAACGAAGACGATATCTATAATATAACAATTTCGTTGAAAGTGGTGTCCATACTTTACTCTTCGCACAATCTCAACCCATGGAATTTGTTTGATTCGCTATTTCAAGACGTAGAAGAATGTCAAGCAAAAGAAAATCCAGGTCGTAATTTACCAAATGAAGCATTAGTTTACTGTATAGAAGCGTGTTATTTTTCCATTAGCTGGGGCCTCTACTATGTGGAAAACCAATGCGAAAGCTCTCAAATAACGGAAGCGGTAAAGGAACTAAGATCAAATTTAGATAAATATATGTCAGCTTGCTTTGAATTAACACGCGACGGTCCCACAGAACAGATTCAAGAAGCTGTAAGTACATTACTCGATGATTGCGTACGTTATAAATATACTTTTGATTTTAAGGCTTATCAATCGATATGTGATCTCTTGATAATATTCTCCGATCAACTGACGCGCAATGAAAATCCCAATGTGCACACATTGCAGTACAAATCCACCTTGGACGAACAACTGGTGCTGAATAATTTTGTACAGCACTACGTGTTTGCTTTAAGACAAGAAGGTACCATAACTCCTTATAATTTATATTATAATGGTTACTTCGTTTGCATATTTTTTCCAATTAGATGTGCAAGATGAAAATCGTATCATGGAACTGCATAAGAAACGCAATTTTTTGGCGTCTTATTGCAAGCTGGTGGTGTACAATATTATACCAACAAAGAGTGCAGCTAGCATGTTCAAATACTACGTAAAGGTATTTTAAAATCATATACGGTGTACATGTTCTCTTAATTTGTTTTTTGTATTTTGTGGCAAACCGTTCCCCTACTCCTTCTCGTTTTTTTTTTTTTTAGTGCTATAATGAGTACGGAGACATCATCAAGGCCACTTTGGGCAAAGCTCGAGAAATTAATAAAGTCAATTTTGCCCTAACATTGTTGCTGAGTCTGATTGCAGTTTTTAAGGATTTGCAAAATCAGTCGGAAAATGGTACAGTCTCCAAAAACTCACACGAATTTAGTGATCTAAAAGAACTAGCTAAGCGTTTTGCCTTAACATTCGGGTTCGATGCAATTAAGAATCGTGAGCCTGTCATTGCTTTGCATCGTGCGGGGATTTTGTTTGCAGTGGGTGATGTGCCAGATGACCCTGTCGCGGCACCGACACGGCTACTCTTTTTAGAAGTACTCAATGAATTCAATCACAAACTTCTAAAACAAGATAAAAAGGTTATATTAAATTTTTTGGATCGTCGCCTATCGCCCGCTATGCCATCCAGCAGAGCCGAAGAATGGCAACCTTTGGTATTATATCGTAATTCATTGTTACACGGAGAAACTGATCAAGCTCCTGTAACGGCTACCAAGCGAGCCTATGCTCGAAAGCGTCGTGGTGATCATGGTATGTTATTTATTTTGGGTTTTTTTTTTTTTTTTAATACTTACCACCATGAATGGGGATGAACTAGATTAGCTCTAGCTCACTTGGTAACATCGCGATATACGCATCATAGATTAATTAGATAATCTTTATGAGATTGCCCTACGTCCGTCTGTTTATCTTATCTTTTTAACGTACCCATTGACACATGTAACTGTGACAGACGCATGAAAATTAATTTATACGCGCCAGGCGTTGTCAGCAGAACAATGCTCGCCTTGAACTGAAGTATTATAAGTTTCCATGCAAGAATGAGAATGATGAATCCACAATAAGCACACAACTAAACAGGACCATAAGCAGGTCGCCATATTTTCACGCTTCCATATATACGATTGTGATAACATTTTGCACACCCCATCACACCGGTACTTGAAAAAAAATGGAATTTCTTGGAAAATCCGAAGTGCTACAATTTTCTATGTATAGTTATATAGAAATAAGTCTGAGAAGAAAAGTATATTCCACGCTTTAGTTCATTAAGTTAAAAGGCTTATTTTAAAAAAAAAATTGTTTTTTTTATCATTTACCTGCTTGTACAACAGAATAGGCTAAGGAGGTGATCGATCTTATAGAAGAAATATAACTTGTTTACTTGTTTGTACTATACCATCAAATGATGAGATGTCATTTTATTATTATTGTAGTTTAGAACTTAGAAATCCATAGAGTATAATATAGTGCGACTAGAGGGACAGAGAAACCTCATTTTTTTTTTATGGTAAATACAAAGAGATTGCACAAAATTACATAAGTTCTTGTTTCCAAACGGTAATGACTAGCGCGCGCGGATTGATAACGAAAATAATCACTATAACCTTTCAGTTAATTCGGCTCAATCGTAATAGATATACGGCTCGAACAGCAAGATCTTTTCATAAAATAATATATATGGTGTGGGTATTAAAAAATTCGGTGAAACCGAATTTACGCTAAACTTTACTAAAAGCAATGTTTTGAATACTCATAACAATTGAAATTTATAGATGAAGAAGACGACGAAGATGACGACGAAGAAGAAAACAATGATCCTGATTATCGGGCGTAACTATATTAAAATACATAGTTTAAAGTTTCATTCATATACATACCCTTTACATTTACCTATCTATTACGTTCTACTATGTTTAAGATAATAGTGAATAAGAACTAAAGCAACTAATGATAAATAAAAATAAAAAAAGAAAACAAAATCCCAAAATAATAGTGTCCGAATTAATTTGATGAAAATTTAATAATTAATAGAAAGTGCGGTGAACATTGACGGCTCCATAGTTTTGATCATAAATCAGAAAGAATTGTGAGTCTTTGGCACGTGTTTTGTAGCATACTCAAAAGCTCGTTGCATAGCGATTTCCAGTTGCTCCTCAAATTTCATCGTAATCCGTTTGCCTCTCATATTGCAAACTTCGTGCATGTTTTGCCCTTGGCCTGCCCAGATCTCACCTTTGAATATCGCAGAAAATGCCAATAACCATTTCTCCGCATTAAAGTTTTCTGATTTGAATTTCTAAAAAAATTAAGCAACGAATCTTTTGCAAAAGTACATCATTATTATTTGATTTATATATCAGTGAGCTTGCCTTAGGAACACAGCATCTAGCTTTAACAATATCGTTAGTCATTGCTATCACTAATATTGGCCGATCTTTGCATAGTCTCGTGGCTCGTTGCAATGGTACATCCTCTTCCATGAGCGCTGAACTGGATATATAATGCAATATAAAATGATGGGTAGTCGGAGATCTCTCTTGCAACAAATTATGTATTTCCACTTCAACAAATTCTCTAGAAAGTTAACAAACGATTTATATATATATATATATATATATATATATATTGCAACAATTCTCGGCACATCTGATCATACTTGACATTTTTCTTTACTGTTTCTTTTAATTTCCTTAATATATCACTAACTCGATTCAAAATGTTCGTTCTCAAAACGTATGGTAGCTTCACGTTCATATGCAGAAGGTTATGGCGGATTTTTTGTAATTCCAATTCACTAGCATTCGTTAACTTTTCGGCTTTGAAATCCTCTTCCAACATATCCGCTTGGTGTTTGAGTAAAGCACCCACCTCAACGATCTTTAACGAAAATAAAATTGACATTATTAAATAATATTTTTAAAAAGTCCTCGACGACCCTAACGGGGCGCAAATAAATAAATGCAAATGCTTAAGCCTCATTTTGCGCGGCCGTATAAAAATTTGCTTGTCTGCAGCAAGGAGAAGATTTAGATCGAATTGCATATTGGCCCGATTTATTTATAATTTAAGGTGCAATTCATTTATCCAAATCAAAACCATTGTCACATTCATAAAGTATAACATCAGTTTCCTGCGATTTCCCTTGTTAGCTGGCGCAAAGATACACTTTAGCTGATGGCATACTTTGCTTCTGTGGATTCAGCAATTCTTGCTACTCCTTCCCCTGGATGAAAATGATGTTTACATGTGAAATCTATACTAGTATACAAACCCTTTTGGCGTCTTCACCCGCTACTGCTGTAAATGCGTACCGGGCTCGATTCGTTTGCTTTAAGTTTGTTATGCAAAATTGTTCCAGTTCCTGAGTGTTAGAGGCATGAGTGCCGCAACAAAGCTCCTTCGATAATAACTTTAAATCGTTGCAATTGATGGTGATCAGACGCAAATCTGTTTCCGGATATATTTCACCAGGCACCATTACTACATCATCCTGTTGAAAAATTTCAACTGCATTGAATAGTTGCGCCTTAACCGGGGCAGCTAAACAAATGCTTCGACTAAAATCATATGAAATTATATTGAATTGTGCATTCTTTTTACACTGTCACAATGCCCGAATATTTACTTGACAAAGTCTTCAATTTCTTGCACTTCATTTACAGCTATATGTTTTCCTATGAGGCCTAACTCAAGTTTACAGTGTTCGTTTGTAACCTCGCTGCTTACTTGATATGTAACTTTCCCATACAAAGTTCTAATTGCTCCGTTAAGTAAATGAGTGGCTATAATAATAAATTTAGAAACCTATAGAAAGGGATTTAATGTTTAAATGACTTTGTCTTTATACCTGTATGATGGCGAATATTGGCTGTTCTATGGTTTTCATCAACTGTCAACATCACTTCGTCTCCAACAGCCAATGTGAAATTGAATTTCTGTTCAGGTAGCTTGCAAGTATGAACCACACAGTCATTTATGAGATGCGTACCAATTACACCTAATCTAGGATGTATTATATGGGAAGCTTCGCTGCTGCCCACTACCAGGTACCCTTTATCTGATTGTTGGCCCCCAGATTCAACATAAAAGTTACTAACATCCGTAATGATAGAGATCTGATCAATTGATTTAACAACTCCATTGCATATGACTTCTTTTACGTTGACATCGTTATACAGTATACCTAATACCTTAGCTCTAAGAGGAGGTATACTATATTGCTTCGTTTCTGTATCGTATTGATAATTATATATGTGCTGACAATGCGTAGCAGGTAAAGTTTTTGTTAGGTCAATCAGACTTTCCTCAATAGATGCAGTCATATCATTCGATTCTGTGTCCTTGGTAAGGGAGAGTTTTGCGCGAAGCTTAGCTTCGCTCAATGCTTTATGATAGCCCTCTAAATCACATATCATACCTTCTAAATTTGCCAATATGTCGAAATGCTCCTCGGTTAAGCCATACGTACTGGTGAGTTTACATAAAAAATCCCCAGGTATTACATTCTTAAATCTCACTTTTGACAATTTCAATTCCCGGTAGGCTGGAACAAAACCAGCATATTCGATAAGATCTGCGTCGTCTATGTAGGAATTTTCGTTAATAATTTCAGCAAATGCCTCCCGCGAGCTTTTTCTTAAAGCTGAATACACTTCGCGCTCGTGTTCTATAATTTCTAAAATGGAGTTTTGTTTGTTCGCTATTTCAGGATAACCCGAGTTCATAGTTTCGATAATTACAGGCACCAGGTGACTTAATAGCTTTTCATTATCGAAGTTATTTTTAGATACAGTGAGCGCCTTCCTCAAAATACGTCGCAACTTTTGACTGAAACGCAAAAGAATAATTGAAATTCCCGAGACTTCTTAACAAGTTTTATAATGCTTGATAACCTACTTTTGATCAGGTAACATACCATCGGCCAGACAAATAGTCACCATGCGAGCATGATCTGCCAATATCCTGTACGCTGTATCTAATTCTGCTGCCCATGTAGATGAAGGGAAAAGGCCGCCATATGGAGGGACCTTCGAGTGCTATGCAAACAATGACATAAATTATATTTAACTTTAGACGGACGAGGCCCACTTTAAATTTGAGGGCCTGATTAGTACGAAATAAACAAAAAATATTTCATTTACATTTTGTATAACTTTAAATAGAGGAGTAAATAAATCGGTGTCGTAGTTTGAGCTTTTGTTCTGCAATACAGCGGTAAGTCTTTCAAAACCCATGCCAGTGTCTACATGTTTTGTTGGTAGTTGCGTTATAGAACCATCCGAGTTTCTAGATACCCGTTAATGGAAAAAATCGCATAAATCGATTATCGTTATTATCGACTATAATGATCATTTACCGATTATATTCTATAAACACTAAATTCCATAGCTCAGTTAAATCTGGGCTACCCGTATTCACTTGTTTAGCTCGATCTACCGTAGAAAGCAAATGCGGATTATGATCTATATGAATTTCAGTACAAGGGCCGCACGGTCCGGTTAGACCCATTTCCCAAAAATTGTCTTTAACACCGAACGGTAATATACGAGATGTTTCGAATCTGTAATAATTATATTTAAATATATGATGTAACACTATCTTTATAAATTGATTGACCCCAAACTTCTCCATATTTCGAAGCATTCTAAATCAGGTGATAGGCCCAAAGTTTTATCACCGCCAAAATAAGTGACATATAAACGTGAAGGATCTATATTATAAGGACCACGAAGCAAGTCCAAAGCCATGATGCAAGCTTCTTTCTAAAATTGTTATTATTTTTTGGAATTACTTTCGAACCATTAAAAGAACTAAGATGAATATTTTACCTTAAAATAATCGCCGAACGACCAATTGCCCAACATTTCAAAAAATGTATGATGATATCCGTCCTGGCCAACACTTTTTAAATCGTTATGTTTACCCCCTACACGTATGCATTTTTGTGAATTTGTTATTCTCGTATGACTTGGTGTCGCTTTACCAAGAAATATTGTTTTAAACTTTCAAATAAGCACTGATATAAGTATATTCCGAGTTTACTCATACAAATACAAGTACCTGTGTCATGCCGGCATTTACGAAAGCGACTGTTGGATCACAAAATGGCACAACCGGACTAGATCGCACAAACTTGTGATCATGATTCTTCATAAAATAATCAATAAAAGTTTTCCTTATTTCACCCGATGTTAAAATCCTTTGTACTTTCTTAGCTGAAGAATACATCCTTAAGCGTTTCGTCTGCAAATTCCCGAAAGTTCTTTTCTATTTTTAAGAGATTTAAATTATAATGCGCGACAAGAAATTATCTGAACACCAAACATTTTTGCCTTAAGCAGCTGACAGATAAAGAAGAACAAGAAAAATTAGAATCTGATAGAATTTCATTTGCAGTGAAATATCAATTGTCAAATTATTACGAAAAGTTTCATATCAGAATAATTCCTAAATAAAAATAATTAATCTTTTCATTCAAAAGCAATATTTCGATTTAGCATATAATGTGCGACAAGCAGCGTTGTCTTTAAGAAATTCGCTGCTCCTGTTCAATCGTAACATTCTCTATTTTCTTGTACCAATCGATTTGAAAAATGATTTTGAAATTTATAGCAAAATATACATATATATATATATTCATATTATATATTGCGGCCGCTTTATTTGAGATATTTTGATGATATTTGATGTACTGGCGTATTTTGGTCCAAGGAGGAACCCTATTGAAAGTTGATCTGACTCTCCTCGAACAACGCCATAAGAAACTAAATTAATCTGCTTGAAAATATGATCGCGTCATCCTATAATCAAGTCTAAGGAAACCTTATATATTATCATAATAAGACTTTCCAAGCTGACAGTCATTCGCACATGTTTTGCGTGAAATCTTTTAAAGCTGCTTAAATATTGGAATTGTCTTGGATATTTGATCGCTGGCTCGTATCGATACAACCGTCACCAATTTCCTAAGTACTTGATAGGCTTAAAAAATAAATAAGACGAAAATTCAAAGAGAAGTTATGTTTTTAAAATTTTAATTTCGAGCAAAGAAAAGTTTTGAAATCTAAAGCACATATATCCGATTTATTGAGAAATTATATAATTTGTATATTATTATTACATTCGATCCACTATAATTATAGACATTTGCATTACATACGCCGTTATTACGATGACGCTCTTCTCTCTACTATCCATCAAAGAGACATACCATGCAGTGGATTTCCAAAAAAAAAAAAAAAAACATCAAAGATGAGAATACTTGTGTTGTTTCCAGTCCTGTTAAAAATGATGCTAACGTAAGCAAACTTTGGACTTTGGTAATTTCGTAATACGATGCTTGCGTTGCTCTTCCATAGTTTTCGCCAATTCCCACGATTCTCTATCTAGCACTTTTTTACCTCGAGCAATTGCCAATAAACGCGACACTACCAGTAAATTGTGCAGATCATCGGCAGTTGTAACAGAGTTCATTTTACGCATTGTCACGAAATCATCCTGTATCATTCCTTCATCCGTCGGATTCATAGTGAACTCTGACAATTTCGATATAGTTAAATATCGTCGAAATTGATCTAAGCGTGAATGTTGATGAAGATAATGGCGGGCAGCTTTCATAACTTCATCAATCATTTTCACAGATTCAACATCCGCTTCGAGGGGTAAGGAGATATCGTTCTATCAAGAGATTGCGTAAAAGAAATTGATTTTATATTGTATTAAAAAGGGGAGAATTGCAATTTACCGGTAGCATGCTGCGGCCCTCACTAAATACGAGCACTGGTATATCGACGTTATACTCGATCTCATAATAAAGAAAATTATATTTGATTTGCTGATTATTGATTAGATCTGCTATGCTTTGCACACCCTTAATACCATTTGATTCTAATTTGCCCTCTTGCATTTTAGTCTCATCCAGTATTAAATGGGTATGTGGTGCCAATTGTAAAAGTCCAGATACTAATTTATTGGTATCGTAGTCCTTTCTAAAATTACAAAAATAAAAATCATTTAACGATAATAATATAGCAATCTTATATTTACCTTGGAACAAAGTTGACTTCATTCATAACTTCCAGAGACATAGGTAAATAGTGACTTGCGGGTATAATCAGCTCAAGAATTTCATAAAACTGCTTTACATAATCCTTGAGCACTTGCTTGGGCAAATTCCAAATATTTATAGATAATTTACCAATGGTTTGTAAGTCGCAACGACTATAAACTGTTGAAATTAAATGGGATAAAACATAATCTGCGGCCAATTCATCATTGAAGAGACACAACTTTAATAAAGTGTGTAAATCTTTTTGTATCGAATTTATTTTAAAGTTAGGGCAGTCTCGTGGCATAGATGTTTTAGAGGAAAGGAACCGTGTATCCAATAATGGATTGGCATGAGATAGCTTATGTATTTTTATGGCATGAAGACGTGGTATTAATGACGGAGGCGGGTATTGTGCTTGCAATTCAGATTCATTTTCAAAATCAATTTCCATGGCAGTAGCATCAAGGCGGGGATCTATGGAAAGAAAGCCCACAACATCTACTATGGTATTTAGAGTAAATGCGTCAAAATCTTTATATATTTTAATCATGCAAGCTTTACTCGGACGACCAGGTACGGGGGAGTTAAGCAAATACTCCGCATTCAAAGTAGAGCACGCAGTCTTCTCCACACGATCGCCTGCTTTCTGCCGTTTATTGAACTCAGTGTTTGTGTTTAAATTAGAGGTTGATACAGTATCTGCCCGTTCGTCAGATGCTGATCTTTTCATAGTATCTCTTGCATATTCTTCAATGGGAATTATTTCTGGTATGTTATCTTGGTTACAACTCTTCTCATATTCCATGCACCACTCATTTACAGCCGGTATTGAAACAACAAATAAGGTTCTCCGTTCTCCATGCTGATGGTTGCCGGCTTCATAATCCACTTCTTCTCCTAGGTTTAATTTTAAAATATCACGGTATTTTCCTTCTTGAATGCGGACACTGTATGCATTTTCAGAATTTCTTACTTCATATTTTTCCAAATAAATCTCGGGATCTTGCATATCTTGTATCATACCACGAAATCGTACAAGACTGCAATCCTTCAACTTGTGCAATGCCGTATAATTTAACATTGGTATAGAAGCCCATGTCTTTACATCTTCCAAAGCTCTTTCAAAATCTTCACACTTTGATCCTAAAAATTCCTCTGGAGTTTTTGGTAATACACTTGAATCATGTTCTTCTTTCATTTTTAAATTCATTTACATTTAAAGTTGACAAGAAGAGAAATGACGATATTTCCAACTTAGTTACACTTTCGCTGCAAAGTAGGCGCCAAAACTATTAAACACACATGGTCGAATAGTTACCATCTCGGTGAAGTTTTCAATAATAAACAAAAATATCTTGTATAAGCTTATGATGTTTCAAATCCGTTTTTAACAAAGTCTCAAACCGAAAGCGAGGCAGTAGAATGAATCTCAGTGATTTTTGGTATTTCTATTATCATTGGCAATAATATTTACCGGGGTCACCCATGTCCGGTTAATTTCAATTTATTTCTCATTTATTCTCACACACATTGAATTGGATTTTATGACTAATTGTAAAGGCGTGTTAGTAAACCGATTAGAAGATTATAACGTTTTCTCTTCTATAGTTGGTTCTATTCAAGGCTAATCCCAGGCAACCTTCAATTTGCTGTTTGATTGGTTTCCTTTTTTCTTTTCTCTTTCTTCTCTTAGATAGAAAATGAGTGCGTGGGAAAGATACCAAGAGAGCAAGTGTGTGATACGCAACGCTTTGATGTTGAATTCTCGAAACTGTTAGCTTCGCCGCAAACTATTGTTGTAGATGCCGCTTTAATGTTTTTCTCGAAAAATTCGCTGTCTTAATGTATAATCCGCAACGATCTTACTTATTATTCAGCGCGCAGTCACTCCAGCTTCTCAAAAGATTATTTTTCACACCGAAAGATGATTGACCGTCCCATTGAAAGAACCAGTCACTCATCAAAGTTCTAAAATATTAACAGGAATACTTGCGTTTTCGCTTGACTGTCACTGAACAATTAAAAGAAAGATCTAGAGTCGCGCGCGGCTTTTACAGCTGCTAACTCACCACACTTGCTATACTGCTATGAAGCTACTAATGCATGTCCGAGAGATCTGAGAGAAAAATATCCAGTGATCTCTAACTTATAATGTTGCGTTCTAATCAACATAGAGCTTAATGGCAAGTATGTCCCATCACATTTGTATTTTTTGTTGTTGTCGAGAGGACTTAGAAAAATTTCCATGACGTCAATGGCAAAAACCAATTCTTAACACTGTACGAGTGCACATAAAGCGATTTTTATTGTGCACGGAGCATATGTAAAAAGAGATCTCCTTGACTAAATAGTCCTACCTTGTGAGATCAAAAATAAACCATACGTGAATATATGAATGCAAGAGTGTATGTATATTAGGTAATTAAATAATATGAATATATGAATATTACATAATATGTAAGATGTATATAGAAAGGAACAATGTATATAAATATATATAAAAATATATAATGTGTATGAAACCGTGACAACAATGCGAGTAAGAAGTATATATATGTGTATAGTAGAGGATCTAAAGAATATAGTATAATGCAAAGTAGGCCGATAAATGTATAAGGTAGAGCTTTTATGTAGATATATAATACAATATATATCTGCCAATGCTGTATATATAAATACATCAACGAGATATTCATATACATTCTCTAGCGTAGTAAAATAGAATGGACGAAGCGGCCGCTTCCTCACAACTTTCTTTTCAAAAAGAATATCTTCACGGTATCGAAACTCAAAGGTGAAAAAATTAACGGTATTTTCCGAGATAGTTTTTGTTTCCTCTGCATTGTAGGCGTGTCTGCGAACAGATTGCGCCCATTTTTTTAAACTTTATATCCTTAATGGTTCAAGCAGTGTTTGCGCCAAGTCTCCGCTTATCTGTCAAATTAACGGGTTTCTAATGTTAATTAGCTACGACCTTTCTTCTCCTAATTTTCAGCTGGTCAGTCTCAAGAAAATTTAGAAACAAAGTTAAAGAAATAAAATAATGAATGGTACAGTTTTTTCTTTACTTAATACATTTCTCTTTCGTATCACTAAGAGCTAATAAAATCGCAGCCAAGTACAAGATAACAGTACGATACAAAGTAAAAAAAAGGAAAACCAGCACGGCAGATACCGTCACGCGGGGTGTTACGGCTCGTTTTGTTAATCAAATTTTAAGTTTCACGGTTTCACTCGGTTTACTTGTTCTGAAAATGGACGCAAGTTGTGTTTCAGCAGTGGTAGTTGCAATTCCTTAAATGAAAGAAATCTATTTGTCAAGGAAGTCCTAACCGTTTCCAAGAGGAACCCAGAGCGTTGAACTACTAGTCTCTAACCCTCTGCCTTCTCCCTTATAATTGTATAGGTGGTGGACTAGTAGTCCGTCTCCGGTAGTAGGCGACAATCGCCAAGAGAATGTAATCATATTAGCAAATTTGCTGGCGATTGTCGCCAAATGCACTCCCTGACTTACGTTCAATCTGGCTACAATAATATCTGAAGATTTACGTATTATCAACTTCTTTTTATTCTCCTCTATATATATATATATTTCTTTTTAGAGTTGCGATCATGAAATGAAAATTATGACAAATTTCCCAGATCTTTTCACGATTCGCACCTGTGCAGGCGGTACGATGAAAGAGTTTACCCAGAAAACCATTGCTTGGTAAGCGGAAATAAAACGATTACACTAATATTACATAATTAATGAGTGCAAATAACAAAAAATATACTTATATTATCTGCAAAGAGTAATCGTTTCTTCAGCGATTAAGTAGAAAGATGAGAAAAAGTTACTTGTCCACTTAATATTATGTTCAATGAATGACTTAATTAATTAATTATTTTTCATATTTAACATATAGTTTTCATTTTGTTTTTTTGCCGCAAAACTAATTTCCATATATTTTTCAAAATTATCTTCATTTTCTTGATGGTAGCTGCCGCTGAAAAAATGACTGGCATTGCCATCGTCTTCAAAATTGCTTTCACTCAAGGCCTGGCGTAAACATTCCTTTTCCTTACAAGAATCGACTAATATTGATGATCCTCTTTTGATAACGTTCGACATTTTTATATTCGTTTTATTACCCATTTTAACCAATATATCGAAACTATCATCCAATGATATACGTTTAGCACTCTGACGAGATAAGCGGATTGAGTTTGATGGATATCGTTTTTTTGTACTCAATATGTCCAAATCGTCAAAAGATTTGGATATGCTAAGTGCTGCTGACGTTGAACGTTGATTTAATAATAAACTAATATCCCTTGAAATGGGTTCATAGCGTAATTGTTTACCATTGTACGATGTTAAAATATGATTGGGCTGAGTTTTCTCCACAATTTCGTTAATAATATTCGACATATCGAAAATTGCCTCATCTTCGTCGCTGGGTAAATCTGAAAGTACGCTCTTTGTTAACGGAGTCGAACAATGAACTTCTGATGGCAATAGAACTGCTTTGCATGGCGTCTGATGTGTTGTGCTTTCCACTTGCTCAACCTTACGATTAAAAAATTTATCAATCATTTGTAAACCTTTCCTAGAAGAAGCCCTTTTTCTAGCATTTTTGGGTTTTATGGTTGCAGCTACTTCTTTAGTCGCATCCAATAAATCATCAAGATTATCCAAAGAGCTTAATGGTTTATGGCTTGCACTGCCTTTAGCTTTCCTTTTAGCAGTCTTTTTTTTTTGCTTTTCTTTAGATTTTAAAAATTTTTCCACCAAATCACCATAAGCCCTCTCCATCATATGCAAAGGTTCTATGGTAGTCCAAAGATGAGAAAAAGCGTTATGATCACTCTCTTCCAATTGATTCAATTGCTCATCAGGTACTAGTCCTTTAAAATAATTTCCTTCATCTTGCCACAACAATTCCAGGCATGGAACACCCTTAACGATACGCTTCTTTAAAATCTCTTTAGGGGTTAGGCGTACTAAACCACAAGATGTTTGCTTAATGTTGCAATCATTCTTCACATGCCAGCGTGTTAAAATTGGGAAAAATTTTTGAAAGCAATAGATTTCGTTCCATTGCAAAAGATTACCAATTTGTTTGATAAATTTCACTATATTAGGTTGATTCCAGGACAACTGTAATTGAGGAATTTCGTCGGGTTGGGTTAAAAACTCTTTGATTATTTCCTCGTTGGGAAACGAAAGGTCTGCCAAAGCTTTTCGCCGCAAAAGTATTTCTGACTTTAGCGAAAGACGTTCGTCTCTGCGTAAAAAAAGAGGACAAAATTATTTTTCATTTATTTAATTTCCATTTATCAGTTTATTTACTTCCATAGAGTTTCGTCGCAACCATAAGGAGTACGACACACACCACAACCATTTTTTTTGTGACTTTGAGTGCGGCCTATGTGGCCGCAATTGCTGCACACGCTTTTATCGTCTACACGCATTTCTAGAGCAGTGTATTTGTCATCTTCCTTACGCCAATTACGTATTCGCTGCAAAATTTCATCGTCTTTGTATCTATCAAATAATTTTAGAACACTATCACGTCCAATGCCACCAATACCTTCCGGGCAATAGTCACAACCGCACAACAAAGCCATAGCAATGATCTTATTTCGTCCGAAAGCTGAAAATCGGAGAACAACCAATTGACTGCAAATTATGCATAAAACAAACTCGATATCGTTTTACCAATTTTTGAAGAAATTTGTCGCATATCATAGATATCTACAGCACCTCCTTGCGCTGCTAGCGCACCTTGATTGGACACGGAAAAATTTCTATATACACGCACAGCTCCGTACGCGAAACAATCTGAATCTTGGCTTATGACCCCATCAACCAACTAAACTTAAGATGGACATTAACATGTCTACGCCACACTTTTTATAATAGCAAACGGAATAACTGAACTTACGCCTTTTTCATTGAGAAAAGCGCAATAGGCCTCCGCCTCTCCAGGTCCTTGTACGCATTGCATACCCATAGCTTTTAATAAATTTTCGCATTGCCGTAAAACATGGTTAAATCGAGTGCGACCTTTTTCGCTTTTCGTTTCTTGAGTATTGCTTTGACTTTGAGCTGCCACTTTATCCTTCGGTTTGACGCCTCGAAATTGCAATTCATTACGTTTTGCAATTACTTGACTTTTAAGTATTGGAGCTTCTCCTTCTAGCACAAACACTGGTATAACCTCCTCCCATATCAAGTAAGTCGTACGGAAAAATAAATTCCTATTAGACAAATAAAAAGTATGGAATACACAGAACAGGCAATGAACTTTAATTTGTGTACTTTAAGTGATGTTTCGGATGCACATAGTAATCGACCACGTTAAGACTCTCGCAAACCCAGCCCGCCAAATCAATAGCGACAATTTTGCCGCGTAACTCAGATATAGGTTTACGCTCAGCGTATGGTGTTAACACGCTCCATAGATCTTTTATACCCATTTATTTCGTCTGAATGCAGCCGTTATCTCTAGTTTATGGCAATGCAATATATATATATATATTTTTTATTTTTTTTTTTCACTGCCAAAGTGCTTTTCAATATTAAAACATAAGAAACGCAAATTCCGCAATAATATATTTTGCTAAATTATTCAAATTATATCTATTGCTTCTTCTATTTACTTTTGGAACGATAAAAAAAGAAACACTCATTCTGTAGGGCAAACTTAATCCATTTCGAAATGTTCCCCAATATCAATTTGCTTTATTTTTTGTTAATTGAATGCCAAAAACAAATATAAAAAATTTTAATTTTAAATGATAAAAAAATGAATACGAAATTTCATTATATACTTTTGACTGGTCCTCCTGGAATTGGGAAAACAACATTGGTGCGTAAAATATGCGAAGATTTATTAAATACACATGAAATAGCATGTGATGGTTTCTTTACGGAAGAAGTGCGTGATTTAAGAGGAGAGCGCGTTGGTTTCGATGTGATTACCCTTCAAGGAAAGCGAGGAATTTTAGCAAGGTACTCAAAAGTTTCGACGAAATCTTGTAATGTTATTGAGAATTTCTTTCATTTCAGGTCAAAGCCTTCGGATAACCTTAAAAGACCTCGTATTGGCAAATACTCTGTTTACATTCAGGAATTTGAAGAACTTGCTTTACCTATATTAAGGTCAGACAACCACAAGCGGCAATTGTTAGTTATCGACGAAATCGGTAAAATGGAGCTAATAAGTAAGAAATTTGAAATGGCTGTAAATTTTTGCATAGATAAATGTATAATATTAGCTACAATACCGCAAAAAATGCATCATAGTTTGCTTTTGGTGCAAAAGCTGGAGACAAATCCTAAAACGAGATTATATGTTATAGGCAAGGACAATCGCAATAAACTACACGTTGAAATTGTTCAAACTGTGCTAAATGCATTAAAAAATTAAATCCATTTTAATAAATGTTAGACTATCACGTTTTGTTGATGGCAATATGTTTGCACATATGTCAACGGTTTCTTTGAGGGATTTTTGATCGAAATATTTCAAAATATTACTAGTTTAATTTGATAATAGCGGAGAGGAAAAGTAATTTATTTCCAAAGTAGAAACTTAACTTTGGAAAGCTGGCATACGTACAGTAAGCTGAAAAAAGCTTTAGATAAATCTTTCAGTAATGAAAATAGCGTTTATTCTTTCCATCACGGCAGGTTCATTAAAAAAAATATTTTAGTGAGATGCAAAACTTTGTCTTCAAGATTTACTGATGAGTTTTATTGCGACTGTTCGCTTTAGAAAGAGAAATAAACAGAAGATTCCCTTTGTATGCCAATGCTCGGCAGCGATAGCGATAAGTGATATTCTGCCTGTACAAATGCCTAAAGTAAACCTATTAGCGTTATGCAAGCACTGAGAGCTTGCAAGACCTTGCTTTTGTTTATTCATTGAGATATACATATTATTTCTCATAATAATACGAAGTATTCTTGGGGAATACATTAGACGGACATAATCGCGCCGTTGCGATTTGCTTCGTGTACATAGAGATCGGCTTTTTAATTTAAATTGAAACAAAGTAACAATTCGCAATATAAGGGTAAGGGTAAAGGTATTTGATATATCTTAAAAACGTATCTTTTCTGTTTATCAGTGTGGTAATCATGTAAGCAGGCAACAACCACCAAGAGAATCTAACCATGTTGGCAAGTTTACTGGCGATTGTCGTCAAATTGCGCTCTCTCGGCTACGTTAAATCTGACGACAATAAAGTTGCTACCGCTGAGACCAAATATGTCTTAATATTGAGTACAAACCAAGCAAAGTTAACACAAATCTCTCGTTTAGAGTTGCGTTTTAAAAAAAACAGCTATAAAAGAAATGTGTAAACAGTTGTTAGAAAATGAATTATTAATGTAAAAAAAGAAATTAAAAAAAAAAGAAAGAGAAAAAGAAAAATTTGCAAAAGTACAATTTTTTTTTAAAATATCGATGCAATATTCATTTTATTTTGCATAGTTGTTATTGTTTACCATATGTAGTTTCTTTATACACAGCAAATAAACTTCAATTTGGCTCCCATTGCTAACATTTCTCTCAGTTATTAATGCATTGCAATGAGAAATTTGAGGGAAAATATTGGAAAGCTGGCAACGATAGTACCTGATTAGCTTCTTGGTGATAATCAATTGTCTCCTAAAAAAAAAGAACCAGCGATAATCGCCTGTTTACATGGTTACCATCAAGATGTAAAGTATTCTTTTTCAACGAATATAACAACATTTTTTGACGGTTTGTAGTAGGTGACTTTATTGTGTATCAGATATTGTTATTTAACAAAGAATGAAGATGATTAATCAATGAATTTTTATCTGCGTATTCCATTTGATCATCTGTGCCGTATATATTAGGATAGTTACTATAATAGAAATAGTACTCTCCTTGGCATTGAGGTCTTATACACGATTTGTCAGTATTTCTTTTCAAATACATATTGACAGCAAAATGTCTAAATCTTTGGCTTACTTAAGAATCGATGTGATTTTAATGAGCCATCAATCACTTGAGATAATATTACTAACAAATTGCAAACAGAAGAGATAAACGACTTCCGTTAAAGAGCGCTTTGATCATATCACATTTTACCCCATCATGATCAAATGTAGTGGACTTTGATTGTAAGACTAATTCAAACTTATATGATGGAAAAGGCATTTGATCTAGACTATAGTTAGGACAGGTAGCATATTAATTTGGTTATTCTTCCATATGAAGGCTTTTAATAAATTAAGATATTTTTAATTTTTACGATCGCACTTATGTTTATGTTATATTTACATAGCGAGCAGCCCAAAATAATCTTGAGCAGCGCGAGTCGATGTTTTCTACAATGAATATAATAAAAAATAAAAGCGAGTAATGATAATAATAAAAAAAAGCAATCTCTGTGAAATATTTATTTATTGCAACAAATTTGCAGAGTACAGAATATCTAGGTATATACACATCGTCTTCAATATTTTGATTTTTTTTTTTTTTTGTGTCTCTTTCTTTTTTACGTTTTGGTAATGGACTTTGTTGGTATCCAATAGTTTAAGTGAAACAGAAGATGTTTGCTATTTATCGCTATTAAAATGAGCAAAGAAGTATATCATTCGCTGTAAAATGTACGATATTGATTAAAAATTTATATTAAAAGGCGATGTAGATTTGACGATGCAATATCATATTTCTAAAAATTATGGACGAAATAAATGGCTTAATTTATGGTTTAGAATTGCAAGTAAGTAGCACATTCCTCTAAGCAATAGAATTTTTTAATTTGTCATTTTTATCGCAGGCTCGAGCACTGTCCCCTCAATACGCTGAAACTAATGAAGTGCGTTTCTTTATTGCTACCAACTCCTTAAAGCCTACGAATCAAATACATTTGGTTGAGTATAGTGAAGAAAAATCTCAAATAAATTCGACAATTTTTGAACACTCTTTTGGAGAGGTGTGGAAGTTAAATGCAAATCCCCATGATTTATATGAGATCGCAACTTGTTTCAATGAGCAAACCAGTAATGGTATTAAAAGTAAGGCTGCTCTCCTGAAATATGGTGAAAATGATGATACAATAGGGAAAGTTAAAACCGAATTGAGTTGGCAGCAAGAAGAGATACTAGAAACGGAGATTTACGGTGAAAAGGTGAAAACGGTGGAGTTTCATCCAACACAGAAGCAAAGCCTAGCTTGTGTAATTGATAATAAAGTGATTTTATACGATAGAGCGGAGAGTAAAACGCGCCAGGCGGCGGAAATCGCATCAACAAGTAGCTCATCGAAGCATTTGAATCATCCATTTACTGGTGGAAAATGGTCACATCATCATCAGGGTCAGCAATTTGTAGCGCTGCATGATACGTTTATAAAAGCTTACGATACAAGGGATAATAATCATTGTGCTTGGTCCATAGAAGATTCCCATGGTCAGTTGGTACGTGATATTGATTGCAATCTCAATAAACAGTGTCATTTCGTTACCGGAGGAGATGATGGTTTTCTCAAACTATGGGATTGTCGTATGCCAAAAGAACCGGTTTTTGCACGAAATGACCACGCCCATTGGGTGTGGTGCGTACGTTTCAATACCTTTCACGATCAATTGATTTTAAGTAGTTCAAGCGATTGCAAAGTTCTGCTAACGTGCGCTGGTTCCGTAAGCTCAGAGGCTGCAGAAAACGTTAATCCAAACGCGATTACATCCCTTGAAAATACAACGCAACGTAAATATCTGGACGATGGATTGTTGCATACTTTTGAACAACATGAGGATTCAGTGTATTGTGTTGAATGGAGTAACGTAGATCCTTGGATTTTTGCTTCACTAAGCTATGATGGACGTTTATTAATCTCTAAAGTACCCAAGCAATATAAATATCAAATAATATTATAATTATTGCAAATTTTTGTTTTATTTTTTTAAATTTTTTAACCAGTATCTTCCGAAGTACAATCCGATGAATCATTGGGATTAGTAATTTCTATGGAACAAACTTTTTTAATCAAATCATTTTCTATAGGTTTGCCATTATCAATGGCTTCTTCCATTTGAACATATTCCACTGTAGTGAATGTAGATGGTTTTTCTTGATTTGTAATGCAAGATTTCGACAAGTCTTCCGCTGTTTTGCACGCTTGCATAGCGGATTTTTTTACTTCGGTTTCGTCTTCCGCTTCTTCAGCTAAACTGTTTCTCTGTGGTTGGGCATCTGCATACGCCGTTCGGTATTGATGACTTAACTTTTGTTTTATTATGCGAATTTTACGAAATATATAATCGAGATCCTTTTTCATTTCGCCCAACACTTTACAATGTCTTTTAAAATCATCGTTGGCAAGTTTTAAACGGCTCTGCGACAATGCATTGCAATTTAGAAGCATTTCATTGGTTTTCTCAAATCTTTGCAGCCTACATATATGCAAATATAGAAAGATTAAAAAAACCAGCACTTAACAAGTAATGGCTCGATTTTTTCATACATTTGTTTTTGCGCTCTTATCATAGTTTCCACGTCACTTTGATTTACTAAACCAGCTAAACCTTGAATAAAAGCTTCTGCTGCTGTATAATTTTCAAAACCCTCAATGCTAAAATCACTTTCCGGAGTTGCGTCCTGTGTTACATCGTTATTTGATGTCATGTTTGTTATATATATAAAATTCTATATCACAATATTTAAATTCTCCTTATTAATAAATTTCGTCTTTAACCAAAAGGTCACAGCTTATAGGAGCCAATTAGTTTACAGGAAAATTATTAAAAAGCAAATAGAAAAATTCCTTTTTGTTTTTCTTTGAATAACGAATGAAAAGTATATAAAAAATAGATAAATCCTGCCTGGTTAGATAAAAATACTGAGAAAAAGGAGATAATAATTGGAAGTGGAAGAAAGAAATTTCCCTCATAATATTCCCTCATCATATTACAAAATTTCCCTACATCTTAAAAGATTTCCCTACGAATAAAACTGTGTTTACAAAATTGGTAAACACGGGCATATAAGAGCCAAGCTAAACCAAAAATATGCAAGCAACTAAGCAGTAGCAAAAGATTTATGGAAAAAATAGTAAATGTCAGTATCATTAAAGTATAATACTTTGCTCGTAAATTTTAACATTTTTGAAATTTTTTCAACGATGCCTTGTGTTTTCTGTAAGACAAGAAAATTAATTTTTCATTTCGACATTGTTAATTTTCTATTCAAAACTAGAGTACAATAAGCAAGATGGCGCAACCAATTGATGCTATAACTGTCCGCGCGACTCGTCTAAATAATGTTTTATTGGGTAAAATAATTATATATATAATTTTATTATTTATATTTAAAATTTTAAAATGCTTTATATGTACTAAGGGAGTGGTCGTAGTTATGGAATTAGCACTGCCTTTTCCGATAGCATGACACGCGAAAGTTTATTAGACGCTTTCTGCGTGTTGTACAATGAATGCGATAAGGAAGCTTTGCGCAATCGTGACAAGAATATATCAGAGTTTGTCAACAAATGTAAGTTCCTTTTATATATCGATTCATGGATATGGATTTTTAAATCTCAATCATTTCCAGATCGGAATGTAATAGAAGAGGCCCGCCGTTTACGTGTAAATGTTACAGATTTTAATGTGCGCAATTTAATAGGTGAAGGATCTTTTGGAAATGTACATTTAGTAGTAGAACACCAGACGGGAGATGTATACGCTATGAAGAAGATCAAAAAGACGATAGTAACTGCTGTACAGGTGAAAGAGGAGCGTGATATTATGTCACGGCGTTGCTCCGAGTGGATAACAAATCTTCAATATGCTTTTCAGGTAAAAAAGGAAAGAATGAATGTCAAGCGGAAGAGTCTTTAATACATAATTGTATACTTTAATTGCTCAGGACAAGGATTATTTGTATTTGGTTATGGAATACTTGCCAGGTGGTGATTTGTTCAGTTTAATGTCTCGTCATGGTTCTTTTGATGAAGACTTGACACGCTTCTATTTGGCCGAAATGACTGTGGCTATACATGCCTTACATGAGATGGGCTATGTGCACCGTGACATTAAACCTGAAAATATTTTAATTGATCGCCTTGGTCACATTAAATTGGCCGATTTTGGTAACGCAGCTACTTTGAACCGTGACGGTCATGTTTTTAGTTTATCACCGGTTGGGACACCCGACTATATAGCACCCGAGCTACTACAATCGTCGAGGTACAAAAATATGCATGACGTAAGTTAAAATGTTTAATCTGACGTTATCATAAAGATTTGTCAAGCAATTATTTTAGGTTAGTTGCGATTATTGGTCAATGGGTATTATCGGCTATGAATTGATTTGCGAGATCACACCATTTCATGACGATGACATTCATCAAACCTATTCAAAAATACTTAGCTACTGTGAGGAGAGTCAATTGAAGAAACTCGTCGCCTTTCCTAGTGAATTGAAGTTAACAGAACATTTTAAAAATCTTATAGAGTCTTTGGTCACAAGTCCGTCCAATCGTTTGGGCTATGAAAACTTGCGTAAACATGCTTTTTTTAATAACATTGAATGGGATAATTTGCGTTCTATGGTCCCACCTATAATACCGTCATTGAAAAGTCGGGACGACATATCCAATTTCGAGGATAATGCACGTAAGAAGACTCGAGCTTGTGCAGTCATCAGTAAAAATTGTAAAAAGTCCTTAACCACGGCGATGATGTCAAACGACTTTTGTGGCAAAGATTTACCGTTTGTAGGTTATAGTTTTGTGCATATGGAGTGGCAAAAAATCGAGCAAGGTGCTATAGATGATGCACGCTACATTAAATTAGATAACAAATTGAAAGACTTGCAACAAAAATACAAAGAACGCATTGACGACATTTCCAAATTGAAACAAGAATTGCTAAGAGCTGAACTAACGATCAAACAAAGCGGTACGCAATCGAGAATTTTGCAAGATGCCAAAGATGAAATGAATAATATGAAAGATATTATCAAGAAGAAGAATGCGGAGCTGGCCAATTGTCACACAGAAATTAAGACACTGAGAAGCTCCTTGCGAGTTGAGAAAGAGGTGGGAGAGAAAAAAGACGCTTCCGTTACTGAAATCCTACGTTCGGCTCGCCAGAAATATGAAGATGCCTTAAATAAAAGCGACAGGCGCTATGAGAGAAAGATTGCGGAGAAAAAGGCCGAGATAAGTGCTATTTTGAGTAAGCTGAATGAGCGAGATGCCGAGCTAAGTGCTAAAGCGGAAGAGTATCTGCATTTACAAGAGAAAATGGACAATTACAAAGAATTGCTTAGTCAACAGAAGCAACAAGCACAAAAAGATCGCGAAGAATTCGAGGAACACAAAACGCATTTAATTGAAACTTATGAGCAGAAATTGCTGCAAATGCGGGAAAAATTACGCTTTGTGAGGAATAGTAAGTCACGCTTATCCATGGAGCTCAGAGATGTGCGCACCGAATTGAATGATAATCTAAATATAAGGCGCAGCTCGGAAGAGGCCAAGCTAATGACGGAAAAATCTAATGAAGATATATTGCAAAGATTGAATAGGGAAATTGAAGCCAACAATGAATTGCACAAAACTGTCGAAAATTTGGAACAAGAAATGCAACGTTTACAAAGAGATTTACAGGTAAGCGCCTTTTGCATTGCATACGATTTGCTTGCACAAGAAGTAGAGAACATAGTAGCTCTTATTATATAAGCAGACACATTGATCGGTAAAAGATTGAAAGTTTAACAAGCAATGCAATATTATTAACTTGACGATAAGATTTTGCATTAACCCTCTTTTGCAATTTTCAAGGTGGCTGAATGTAGTAAAAATTTAACCGAAAGCGCTTTAGCGACTCCTTTTGAAACGGCTCCAGGATCGTTAACAGATATATCGAAGATTGAGGACCAATTAAAAGTCGATTTGGAAACAGCAAAGGAGAACGAAAACGTTCAAAGAATGCGGGCAGATAAGTTACAGGAGACTGTGGAGAAACTTCAAGAAATGCTTGAAGGATGTAACGAGCAATGTACGTCGCCGGTGAAACCTTTAGCTGCACCCCGTCAAAAGAAGAGTACCACAAATGCTGGCGATTTGCTCGAAAAAAAGAATGAAAAACTTGAAGATCAATTGGCAACTCTTCGAGAAGAGATGATTGTCGAAAGGCGAGCGGCCCGCTCGGCAAATTTATCCTTATGGAGAATGGAAAAACTAGTTGAAAAACTCACCAATGAGAAGAACACATTGGAGCGACGCATGCAACTCACGGAGGGGCGTATTAAAAAAGCCCAACATGATCGGGAAGACGCACTCCGTTTATGCAAAGCGAACGAAGAGGCCAAAGTCGAGCGAGAACAACGGATTGAAGAATTGAAACAGGAGATTTCTGCATTAAAATATGATATAAAACGAGGAAACGCAATGAGGGAAAAATGCGAGCAAGAACGCATGAAATGCAAAATGGAGGTCAGTCACTCTAGATGCGGGCACACACTTAAGTTATTTTTGCTTTAACACTTTTTTTCTTACTTTTTGGTTTATATAGGTTATTGAACATATTGCGAATTTAAAAAAGTTGGAAGAAAATCTGGCCGAGCACAGATATAGGACGCAGCCTTTGTCAGACAAATGCAAGGAGTTGGAATTTGAAAATAAACGCTTGATTGGACAAATCAATGATGAAAAAGATCGGTTATTAGTTATCGAAAATCAAAATTCATCATTACAGATAGAATTGCAAAACCAAATAAAGAATTATGGACGATTGAAATACGCTTGCATGATAACTGACAAGCAATTGACGGAAATTGAAGCAATGTTAGAAAAGGAACAGGCTTCTAACAAAGCAAACCAACAAAAACTTAAACAACTTTTAAGTGAAAAAGATCAAAGATTGGAAATTGAAGCTCAACTCAAAAAGCAGTTATTTGATGAGAAGGAGCAAAGGCAGGCGGCCGAATTGCATGGAGAAAATTTAAACACCAGATTAGAGGAACAGCATCAAAATATTGAACATTTACAAAAGGAACTGGAGGCCACGAATCAACGACTTATGTTGAAGACCGCAGAACTATTCCACACTCAGGAGCGTGTTGAAATACTTCAGAGTGAAAAGCAAAATGTGCTGACTCGTATCGAAAATCATGCACGTGAAATTGAAATATATACGCATGAAATAGAACATTTAAAAGAAGAAAAAACTGGCGTAATTACTGAGCTATTTCACGCCAAGGAGGCAGCAAATCGACTTAATATGGATCTTAAAGACGCGACAACTCAAATTCTAGACTTACAAAATGAATTAAAGGATGTACGAGGCATTTTAGAGGAAAAGGAGAACTTTTATTTACAACGGGAAATTAAATGTGAGACTACTTTAGTTCAGCATAAAAAGCTTATAGATTATTTGCAGCTTAAGGTCGAAGATTTGTCGCAAAGAAAGAAGAAAACTTTCGCTGATAAATTATTTGGTAGCAATACTAATGCAAACCGTTCCTGTCCATGTTCGGCCAGCAGCAGAAAAGAAAACTTATGTCCAAACGTTATAGAAAATTCTATAGTTTATCGCACTTTGCACGAGGAATTGAGACGAGAAAAATTGCTTAATAAAACGTTGAAAGAACAGCTTGATAGGTCTAAATTGAATAAAAATTGGTTGAGGTCACCCTTAAAGAAAGTAGAGAAAGATGAGCAGTCTATAGACGATGCTCAAGGATTGGAAATCAATAAAACCATAAAGGAAAATGCAACAAAATCACCAGTGAAAAAGGGAAAAGTTCAACAAGAACAGTCGGACAATCAAGATTTGAAAAAGTCGATGGAAAAACTACATCAAATTTCTGGGAGCTCGAGTGCAAAATATTTACAGTTACATCACCGTTTTGAGCAAACTCGACAAGAGTCCAATATTGATGCCAGCCAATGTGCCGTTTGCCACAAGGCCCTGTTAGTTACATCACCATATTTGGAATGCAAAGTGTGCAAACGGGTAGTTCACCGCAAATGCCGGGATGATGTTAATGTACCTTGTGATAGTATTGAAAATATATTAAACGACAATGCAATCAAGTCTGATTGCATAGAAACGATGGCATTGGAACCTTCGGCGCCTACGCGAACAGATTTGGATACTGATTCTCTAGGTAAATATTCTTACGAAGCGAAATTGGATAATTTGGACGAAGCCAATGCGGCAGCCTTGCAAAATAGTTATAATGGCTCATTGATTTTTACCATTCCCATTAAGAATGAACAGGGTACATCGCTGGAGGTGGCATGTGCTTATGAAATGGAAGAAAATCGAATACTACTCTTAGGCTGCAACACAGGCTTATACGCATATCACGTGAAGCAACAGCATTTGGTGCACATTGCTGGTATTGATGCGGTCAGTTGTATTGCAATATCGGCACCTCTAGCCAAAGCTATACTAGTGAGCTCTCATGGTGAAAGTTTATATCAATGCGATTTACGTCACTTGCAGTCGCGTAGCCAAGCCAACGCCTGTTTAAAGCCTGCTCTGGAGGCGTCAATATTGGATTTATCTTTCGACAATCGTGGTACCGCCGAAAAATGGCAACTAATTCAAGTTTCTGAGGAGACCGAACAACCGCTCGACACAGTGGCTATAGCAGCAACGTCGTCACGCATTGTTATTTTAAAATACGATGTGAAACAACAAAAATTTAAGCCCGTGCAAGCTCTCGACACTGCTACTTCTGTGTCTTCTATACTCTTCACCCGCCATACAGCCATTGTCAGTTCAGATAAGTTCTTCGAAATCGATCTTAGCACGTATGGGGCTGAAGAATTCGTAGACATAGCTGATCAATCTTTATCGCATAGCAGTACTTGCCAGCCGGTCGTAGCCTTACGGATCTCAAAACAAGAATTCTTGTTGTGTTTCATGGAATGCGGCGTATTTGTGGATGAATACGGTTGTCGCTCCCGGCCGTATGATATTAATTGGGGTTATACTCCTACAGGCTTTCTTTACCGGGCACCATTTTTGTATGTGGCCCACTTCCAATCGGTGCAAATTATGCGTGTACATCGTTCCTATAGCAAAGAAATGTCAGATAAATATATTGACGCCGATACGAATGACGCCGTTCATGAGCTGAAAAAAATACATTTATCTTTCTATATGCCAACACTCTTGTGTAATAGCGGTAAGCACAACATCTATATGCTAGCCAAGCAAAAAGAAATAGGCGCACAGGAAATTTATCACTTGGATGCTTTACAAGCTTTCAAGCTGCAGTATAACGGTTCTCAAGATACTGTCTCCTCTATAACTACATCGATAACAGCGGAATCATTGACAACCATATCAACTGATTAACTTGTCAGAATTTTCAATTTTAAATATATACGCATTGACTGCATACTGTCGGAAGTTTATTTAAATAAAACACATTTCTTTAATTTGAAAATAAACCTATGTTTTATGTTCATATCTCGTACAAAATAATCCCTATGCGAAACAGTAGCAAATGTGAGCACGCAGTTCAGATTCTTCAAGAAATACCTTTGAACATCTTTTTATAAATTTTCTTTTATTATTTTTGTGATAGCAAAATTTTATTTCTTGACAGAGTCGCGAAAAACGGCTTCAGGGACTTTTGTACCTCTACTTTGTGCTTTACAGAGGGTTTTGTCCACTTGTAATATAATTTGATTTAATCTCGTTATCAGTTATATTGTGATGCATTCGACACTTTGTTTGCTTCAGACGCAGATCTGGTAAAAACTAAGCTGTGGAACGTCGAGTGAATTTGTTAAACTTGCTATTTAAACCAAATTTTTATTTAAGCTACTAATCATTACAAAGGCGAATATAACTTTGAAATAGAATTTCATAAACAGCTTAAAAAAAAATTTAGATAGAAAGTGATTACAATTTTATTAAGCATAAAAGTCTTTTGTTTGTTTAATTAATAAATTGTTAGTATTACTTATCTAATTCATTAATTTCTGAAATTTTGTTGATTGTGGTATGACAAAGAATTAATAATATTCATTATTGAAAGACGCATTTACATTAATCACATTTAAAATTTTGCGCCATCTTTTTAAATGTCGGCCATTTTATAAAAATCTACATAATAGGGTTATCTTCTGTTATGTGTAGTAGACTTACAATACATAAACGCCATCAATGCTGCCAACCTATGAAATGCATTGCGAAGCGTATTTATCTCTTTTTAACATTAGGGTAAAATTTATTGAATTGCGGTAACTCTTTATAAAAGATAATGCTATCTCTTTTTAACTTTCATTAATCATGTATAACAAAATCTTTTAAAGTTTAGCATGAAACATTTGAGAAAAAAAGTCATTTCATTGCTGCCAACTTTGAGACCACTGTCTCATCCATTTTCAACGAGGTAGCACGGGTAATAATTTTATCAGACAGAAAGCGAAAAAGGAAAAATATTACTTTTTTCCCAAAGGAAATATCGCAGTAGGAGCGACAAACTCATTGAAGATTTTGTAATAGTGAACATGTAGAAAAATTTTATAAAATCTTAATACGAAAAAAAAGTACAAACGTCTGTCATACAAAAAACGCTGAAAAAAGAAAGAAAAGTGAGCCCAACGTCGCCATCATAAAAATTGAGCGAAAGGCGGTGTTAGGGTCTTAATACAAAATCGTATAACAAAGACCTCTTCAATAGAAGTCAAGGAGTGGAAAAACGGATTGTGAAATTTAATTAAAAAGAGAAGAAAAACTTGAATAATTTGTGTGTTACTATAAAAAGAGAACTATATACATATATTAATATATATATATATTTTGTATCATAAAGATTGCATTGAATAGATTGGTACATTTATGCGCTAACGGAAACGCGACAAAAAATTTCTTCAAGTGCGCAAAATATTTTAGACAACTGAAGATGAGTGGCGGTATGCCTGAGTTAGGCTCAAAAATTAGCCTTATTTCTAAGGCTGACATTCGATATGAAGGTCGTCTGTATACAGTTGATCCCCAAGAATGTACTATCGCATTATCAAGTGGTAAGTGTCCATATTCTTCAATATGCAAGCATTACATCTATATGTATATATATATATATATAACGTAATATACTATAGACGGGTAACGTAATGTATGTTATTTTTTTTACTTTGAGAAGAATAGCCGTTATAAAACGGTACCCTTTTATAATAATTGTTGTTGTGGTTTTTCTGTACTTAATTTTTTGCTTTTATAAATTTATGTACAGAAAGATATGTATGCAAAATAAGAAAATGGTTGCTTTTTCGCTTTAATACGTCTTCTTCGTCACTAACACTTCGTGATTTTTTTTTGTTTTTGCTTTATACATATTTTGTTATTGTCATTCGTATCCCTTTCTTGCCTACTTTCCCTATTTTACTCTTATTTTGTTCTGTGTTGTTATGTTGGCAGCAGCAGTAGCAGCAGCAGCCACATATGTTTCGTTTGCCATACTTGTGTGTTTGATTTCATTTATGTTTCAATTTGAGTTTTCCCCATTTCTTTATAATGCATGAAATCCGAGTTTTTTGCTTTCAATTTCTAGTTTAACACCACATTATTTAGCTTATTTTTTTCTTCTTGTTATTTGGAAACAATTCTATGATGACCGTTATTAATAGTTGCACACATAACTGTTCTTGTTTGTTGTTGGTGTAACTATAAAAGGTTGATATGTATGTAATTTTAATGTACAGTGCTTTTAGTTTAGTTTGGTCGCAATTAAGCTACCAGCAATAGAACGCAAATATTTCGGATTATGGTATTCTGGAATCTATATTATTCTCGTCCGAATAGATAAAAAAATTGATAGAAAAATAGAATAGAGCAAAAAAAAAAAAGTATTTATGCTAGTTGGACCATTTCTCGGCTTACTAAGCGAATGCATTCGAGTATATTATAAAGTAAAATTTATAAGTTTGTTTTATAAGAACCAATAGCGAAGTGCGTCGAAAGAATTTTTAGAACGGATTAAAATAAAATACATAGTTTTGAAATCAAACCCTTTTGAAAGCTCGTTTTAATTATATATATAAAAAGTTTGATTAACGTACTTGTTTGTTTCTTTTTTTCCATGTGAAGTGCGCTCTTTTGGTACTGAAGATCGTGATACACAATTTCAAATTGCACCTCAGAGTCAAATCTACGATTATATCTTATTTCGTGGTTCGGACATTAAAGATATACGAGTTATTAATAACAGTCTACCGCATCCAAATGATCCAGCAATAATGCAAGTGCAACTACCAAACGGTCAACATTTAATGCCACACTTTTCTATGCCAAACATTACGGCTGCGCAAGCCCAACCTTTAGGTGCCGCGGGGGCATATGCTGCCTCCTTTGGCAATATGGCTGGCTTGGGTAGTATAAGTAGTAGCGCAGGTGCTGTGCCATCGCTTGCGCCAGGAGCTGGTGCCCCAGGACCATACATGTTGGGTAATCAATCACAAACAACTCAGCAACAGCAGTCAAAAGCATCGCAAGGACCACAGTCACAGACACAACAACAACAGCAATCGAAACAACCAAGTGAGTTAAATCATCATCATGACCTTTTAATTACAACTTCACAGCAGCAGCAACAACAGCAACAGCAGGAACAACCACAGCAGCAACAAAAACAAACGCAGTCTAAATCGGAGCAAGTACAGACCACTAAATCAACAAATTTATTACAACAACTGGCGTCCACAATTGCCTCGTCGTCTGCTATTAGCTCATCGTTATATCATACAACTGGTAGCAATACGGAGGCCGGAAGTACTCTTAGTTCATCCTTGTTAACAACTGTGGATACTATGGGCAACGGTTTGACGGGTACCGGCAACGGTATTAGCCACAATAGTAGCAACAACAGCAACAATGTTGGGCTTCTAGGCATTGGCCTTGGTATTAGTGGATCGGGAGGTGTTAGTCTACTTAGTGGCATAGGCATAGGTGGCATAACTTCGACTACAACTGTAACATCTTCTACAGCAAAGAAATTGTTAAAGAATTCAACGGCACTAAATGAACACAAAGACCAAGGTGTGCGGGTAAACCAAAGTAGAAAAAAAATTGCGTACATGCTTCCCATTTACTTGAACAATTCAAAAATTTAATAAATATTAAATTTGGAAATAAGCAAAGATGGGAAGCATCTATACCCAAAAATTACATATTCACATATATATATATATGTATATATTATTGCAAAATTCTCTTAAAATTGTTGTTTAAGAATTTTCACTTTCTGTTTAACATCAACCTTTTGATTTAAATATGAAATATGACTGACCGCAACCGTTGCTAGAAGATGACGAAACCAAACTTTTTTATCAATATTTTATTTCGTTTTTTGTCTTTGTTTAAGGATCATCAGTTATGTTTTTAATTAATGTACAAAAAAAAAATCCTTGGTCTCTTGTGGCTTACGTGCCTCGACTTTCAGTATTTTTGTGTTTTTAGCTTTAAAATTATATATTGAAATACATGTATTTTTTAAATTTTGTATGAGGGAGAATTAATTTAACGTTTGATTTGTCCCCAAGCTACAGAAAAATTATAATTTTAATTCCTTTTATTTGCATATATTCTATTATTGCCAGACAAGTTAGACAAGTTGGCAGACAAATTAGACAACTTATTTATTGGTTAGATGCGTTTTTTGTTTTTGATTTTGCTGCTGTTTTTCAATCTTGATTGGATTTAATTGCTTTCTATTTGTATTTTCTTTTTACGATAATATATAATAATACATACATAGCGTATACATACATACAATACATATTTGAATACGTCATTTGCCTAATTGCAACGACTTTTTTTCATAGACCTGTTGGCTGGCGCATCACGTTCAACGACGCCCATTAGTCTTCGGCCCACAAAGAGTCCTTCTGCTGATATGGCAGTGCAAGTAAATCAGCAGCAATCGCTGCAACAGCTTCATAATCAGCAACAGCAGCCGCAACATCATCTTAACACTAATCAACAACAGCAACAACAACACTATCAACAGCAGCAACACATGAACCAAAATAATATTGCTGGCGGCGGGCATGCTGGCCAATCGCGCGATGGTGGACAACATAAGCGACAGAATCATCAGCAGCAGCGCGGTGGTAATCAACGGAACAACAAAACAGATTATTATCATCATCAACAACAGCAGCAACAGCAGCAACAACCGCAACCGCAGCAGCAAAATAATCGCCGTGATCGTCGTGATAACAGTATCCGTATGATGGACTATAACAATCATGCTGGTGGAGGCAGTGGTAGCGGCAGCGGTGCAAATCGTAATTACAATAACAGACGTGGCAACAATACAGGAAATACTCGCAGTCGCGGCTATCAGTCGTGGAATGTCGGCATTTCCTTAGCTCCCAAATCGGTAAGTTG